CCTCTGGAGCCTGGGGAGGGTGAAAAATGGGCCTACTAGGCCCACGTGTCTTCCCGTGCCAAAAGAGGGGGGAGTGCGCATGCGCGGGGCAGGGTGCATAGAATTATGGGTGTGGGCACACACGTGCATGACTGCCTCCCACTCCCCCCCCCCGCTTTTGGCTCATGGGCCCGTTAGGCTCATTTTTCATCCTCCCCAGGCTCCAGAGCTTTTCTAGGAGCCTGGGGAGGGCAAAAACGGCCTCCCCCCTGAGGCCCTCCAGAGGCCAGAAACAGAAAACAGGCCAGCTGTTTTCTGACTTACGGTGGGAACGGAAGGCCCATTTTTCCTCCCCCCAGGCTATTTTTGCTCTCCCTAGGCCTTCTCCACCCACCCGGAAGCCCTCTGGAGGCCATAAACAGCCTGTTTCCTGACTTCTGGTGGGCCCAGAAGGCCCGAAATTCAGCTGGCTGGTACGCAGATGCGTGCCGGAGCTGAGCTCGCATGCCCAACGATATGGCTCCATGTGCCACCTGTGGCATGTGTGCCATAGGTTCGCCATCACGGATTTGGAAGCACAAAATGATATAGCTATCCTTAGTAAGATGGGTAACTTGAAATGACTGAGCAAATACAAACATACTTTTCAAGTAGACAGCTATTTGAAGTTACAACTGCCAAAACATCTTAGGGAGATATTTACACGAGCGAGATTCTAACAGCTTGACATAATGGTCAGATATGGGAGATATGGGAGATTCCATTCTATACCCTACAATGAGCGTCTCTGCATTTGTGGATCGGCAGAGGTAGAAGACCTGGCTCACATCCTATTTGATTGTGAGAGACAGGTACCTTGGTCTATATACCAAATGAATGACCCATTGGGATCTCCATATCAAAACAGCTTACTTTAAGTGTAGCCAGAACCTGAAAATAACATTTAACACAGCACAGTACTTAAACAAAATGGTTCGATTGAGATCTGCATACATGGGACTAATTGGGGTAGATTGTAAACATGACACAGAAATATAATTTTATGTCATTTTATTCTATTTTATATATTTATGTATTAAATTATATTGTATCTTATCCCATAACTATTATATTTTACACTACTCTTATTTTAAATTATTTTTATAGGATTTTATTGGTGATACGTGTTTGAACTTTGTGCTTTGATATGGCCTATAGGCTAATCAATAAAGCTATCTAAATATTATAGTATCTAGTTCTGCTTCAGATACCAAGAAACCTCTTTCCAGAAGGTAACAAGGAAAACCGGTCATGATGTGTAGAGCCCCTAAGGTTGACTCAGCCTTCCATCCTTCTGAGGTTGGTAAAATGAGGACCCAGATTGTTGGAGGCAATATGCTGACTCTGTAAACTGCTTAGATTGGGCTGTAAAGCACTGAAAAGGTGTATATAAGTCTAAGTGCTATTGCTATTGCTAACAATACTTGTTGCGGCCCGCCAGCGGCCTAAGCAGATCGTGGCTGAGCCCGACGATGAGGAGGCTGGTGTAGGGTTGTGCCAACAGCTGGCGCAGCCGGCACTCGTGTCAGACAGTGAGGAGGCTGAAGAGGATGTGGTGCCAGAGGCAGAGTCTCAGTCTGGGCCTTCAGAACCTCCAGAGGCTCCTTCAAGTGGAGAGAGTGAAGTGGAGGAGCCTCTCCTCAATGCTCAAGCATGCAGGGCTGCCAAAAGGCAGGAGTGGCTACTCAGGAGGAGGAGGTCTCCTCAAGAGTAAGATTTAAGGATAATTGGCCACTCCCTTAGCCTATTTAAGTTGCACACAGTTAGTAATTTCTTGCTGGAAACAACGTGTAATTATTACAGAGCATTTTGGAGAGTGAGTGTCTTATCGTATCTTGTTTTCTGGGCTGGTTGCCAACCTTGGCCAGACTTTGTTTATTCTTGGTACATTATAACTTTGATAAGGACCGTTGGTGTGTGTCACAATCCTTGGAAATCCAGAGCTGGGGCAGAACAATACTGTGGACCCTGGTCAAGCAGCACTTATATGCCATGTCCTACGTAGAAGAAACTTCCAATCATCTTTTCTGCCATCCTTTCCACTCTCTGCACAGCCTTCCTGTTCAAAACAGTAATATTTCCAAACAAGCAATAAAACAATATGACAGGATGCTTTTAATCATCCCTCTATGTGGGAAAGTGAAAGTGGTAAAGACAAGGGAAGTGTGCTCTTCTAATGCAACTCAGAAAATGCAGGTATTGTTGTGCCTGCTTCACCAGTGTTTCTGTTCTGTCCCCGTCTCACACATACAAACAGTCAGCCAGGGGTTAAATAAAACTTGCAGACAATAAATTCCTTTGATAACAGGATTAGCAGCAACCCAGTAGCTGCTTGTCAAGAACTTTACTCACAGAGGGAGGTGTTCCTCCTCCGTCAGATAAACCAAAACAAATACACAAAGTCAAAGAATTGTCAAGTCCAATCCGTATTAAATCCAAGGCAGGCAGATAACGTAGTTTCAGAGATACAATGCGACTCGCTAGTTGTTTAGTTTTGTCCGTCACAGAGCCTGAATGGCCACCACACCCCCTTTTATCCCCTGTGGGGTGTGGTCCAGTGACTCAGCTTAATCTCTGGCATGCCTCCTTTTCTGCTGCGTGCGCTTGTCTCTCCGACGCTGGCATGGATCCAGCCAAGACTTATCTCCATCACTGTCCGACTGCGACTGTTCGGAGATACCTGGCTCCTGGCCAATCTCTTCTCCCTCGGGAGACACCTGAGGCATTGCCAGAGAGGAGGGTCCTGGAGAGGGAGGCCTGGCCAACTCCTCTCCTTCACCTTCGAAGTGTTCTCCCTCCGATAAGACGGGCTCGGGGGTCGGAGTCACAACAGTTTCACAGTTAACTGATCAAGCTAACCTTCTTGTTAGCTGCAGCCCCAGAAACTTAATACTACTAACAACCTCCACAGTTGAATCATTAATACACAGAGGTATATGGCTGTGCCTGCCTTTCCTGAAATTGATGATTATCTCTTTTGTTTTTTCAAGCTGTTTATTTTACACCAATTCACCAATCCTTGTACATTAGGGCTGTGGGCCACAGTGGTGGATTGCTACTGGTTTGCACTGGATTGGGCAAAGCGGTAGCGGCATGCGCAGAAGTGCCCTGTGTGCGAGCAAATGCACATGCATGAGTGAACCAGTAGTGACAGGATTTGGAACCCGCCCCTGGTGGGTTGGATGTGTTACATGCTGGCTATGCCCACGCTCAGTTTAGCAAAGGGGGGGGGAGTCTCAATATGTCACATGACGCTGCTGTGACAATGCGAGTTTGACATCCCTGCTCTACACCCTCTCTGTAAGCAACGTCATTGTCATCCCAAACAAGGCCCACTAGTGGGCCTTATCCACGTACTTCACTATATGTTTAGTAGCAAACCTTGCACAACAGTCATAGGTCAACAGGATGGACAACAATGTCACAATACTTGTTCTGATAACTGATGCACCATTTTAACAGTGGCAGAAGGGTATAACTAAATTTATTTTGAAGGGGGAAAAACATAAGTTAAAAATGTGACCTGTTCTAACCTGCACCATTTCTGATATCTGTAACAAGAAAATCCAGATCTAGCCCTGCAGCTTTGGTGGGGCAAAGAGGAAGAAGAAGGGGTTAGACAGAGAGAGCAGCAGTATAAAACCAGATTTTCATGTAAAAAGGAAACATTTGGGACTAATATTGTGGAGGACAAGTCTCAAGTAGTTTGCTGAAAGGTATGTGTTCTGTGATCATTCCACAAATGGTATAAATAATGTCACTGAGATTTCAGACTGTTTATCTTGTAAATGCAAATGTATGTTTCACTGTTGTTTGCCAAAAGTTAGTAAATGATGGCATGAATGCACATCTTTAGGTTGAACATCAGGCTAAATGCAAAGATGTTATTGCTTTGATTGTTTTATTGGATTGCTGTCATTTTTGGCAGATTGCTAAATGCCTAAATATGCCCAATTCTTGTAAATTAGGAATAGGCAGACCTAGGTTTACCAACTAGGGGTTGGTAAACAATTATAAGGGAAGATTAGCTAGGATGAAAAGTGGGATCAGTCTGGAATTATTATGTAACTACAAATGAATTAAATCCAATTCACCCTGATTGTAATTGATCCTTATCTAATCAGGTGCTGACCTTTAGATGAGAAGGTTCATATGTATAGGCTTTGAGTAATATATCAAATTGAACCTTCATATATGGATATAGGTTTTTTTTTACTATCGATCAATTTTTCAGCTGCAACTCTATCAATCTCTAGTTGCTGATTATGCTGTTTTAGAATAAAGTCCAAATATTTGGAAAGTGCCAGGCTGCTGTTCCTGTTCCTATTTCGCCACTGTTTGACCAACTGATATAATAGACCAACTGATTTCATAGATCACAGCCCATGGGCCACATATGGCCTTTCATAGCAAGTAATGCAGCTCCATAAAATCATAAACATTCAACATTAGTATAAACATTAACGATATAATATATTTTACATGTGGCACAAGACAATTCCTCTTCAGTCAGTGTGACCACAGCAAGCCAGAAGTTTGGATACCCATGCTGTAGATGATAAGAGCAGACGGTGACCTCATTCCCAAGTATATTAAAACAGACCCATCCATTCATCTATTTCTTCCTTTTGTTGGCTCACTCAAAATTGCCATTACAATTTTCTTATTTTGGGAATCTATAAAGTGCAGCTATTTGTTCAGAATGTGACTCTCCAATGCTATCTTCCTCATACTTACTCTAATACCATCTAGCTACATTTTACATTCTAAATCTACTCACAACCAGAATATACTTATTTCAATTCAGAAAATCAGATTAATTACATAACATTTGTTAGATGCATGCCATTAGAGTACTCCTTCAGTTGTTCCAAGTTTGTTTAGGTCAATAGAACAAATACTTAAAGACAGCATTTTATGTTCCCAAAAAATTGATAGAAGAAGAAAAGAAGAAAGACAATTTGGGGAGTAGATGGGAGAAGACTAGCAAAATAATCACATTCTCTTTGCTTTTTTCATTCTCATGTGACTTTGCAGCTTTTTTCCAACCCCAAAGTCTCATTCCTTCTGCTCCATCAAGGCCAGAAGAATAAACATGCAGGTGGATCTGGTCCCTGGGGCAATAATACTGTTTGTTCTCTTTCTGCTCATATTCTGGGCCTTCCGGTTTCAGCAAGCAAGAGTCAGGCTCCCTCCGGGTCCCAGGCCCTGGCTCTTTCTGGGGAATGTACTGCAAAAAGATATTTTCCCTCTGCATAAAACCTACACAAAGGTAAGACAGTTTTTGATATGACTCCTTTCGTAGTGGGAGAGAGATTAAGAAGTATTTGGGTGATTACCAGTCACCCATAATTTGAGAGTTAAATTCTTTCTATTCATCTGTTTTTACCCAGAAGGAAGAAATAGCCCAACCTCTCAAAAGCAGCACTGAGAAAGATAGAATAGACACACAAATCAAAATAGCCAAGAAAATAGTAAGAGAATGCCTAACCACTCTGAATGAATTCAAATAAACTCCACCAGATGGTTTATATCAGAGGGTTCTGTAGGAGCTGTCAGATGAATGTAACCTTTCAAAGCTCCTGTAACACACGAGAAATACCAGAGGACCACAAAGAGATTGTGGTCCCAATATACAAAAAAAAAAAAAAAAAAAAGGGGTGGGGGGGGGGTGGGGGAATGGATCCAGGAAATTATAGGCCAATCAACTTGACATCAATACCTGAGAAAAACCCTGGAAAAGATAAGCAAGTGGAGGGTTTTTGAGCATCTAGAAACAAACACAGTTATTAGTTAGAAGCCAACATAGGATTCTTAAAAAGAGATCATGCCAGACAAACCTTATATCTTCCTCTGATGAAGTGATTGATTGGTGGATCAGCAAAATGCTGTGGTTATAATATACTTGGTCTGTTTTTCATTGTTCTGTTCACAGTATTATATACATAATATATTTGTTCTGTTTTTCATTGTTCTGTTCACAGTAATTAGCTTATGACTTCAGAAATTTCACTTAAAATAGCTATAAAATTTGGTCATAAATGAAGAAGTATACCTATATAATTTTATTTTTTTTAATACACTTTATTCAGCTATTATTACATTAAAAACATAAAAAAATATTTCACTCAACAACAGCTATTTGTGGTGTTTTTCTTGTGACCATAATTCGTGCATTATGTACAAAAATTAAATTGTGCGTATTTACATTCTTATTTTATCTGTTACTTATACTTAATAATTATCTATCTTTAATCTATCTCGGTTCTATTCAGTTATACCACTGTTCCCACACATTGTAAAATATCAATGCCTCTTTATCTTTTAGACTCAGCGTTAATTTGTCCATTTCTGTGCAATTCATGACCTTTTGTATGACCAGTTTCTCTGCGGGTGTACATTGCTGTTTCCAAGATCCCCAGTAGGAAGAGTTCCGGTTCTAAGTCTAATTGTTCATTAGTAATTTCCTGTAGCCAATCTTTAATTTTTAGCCAATATTTTTGAGCCTCCGTACAGGACCACCACATATGGTAGTATGTTCCCTCTTTCTTTTTACATTTCCAACATATGGGGTTCATTTTAGGATACATTTTCGCTAATCTCTAAGGGGGTAAGGGCCATCTGTAGAACATTTTATATGCATTTTCTTTATATGCTGCTGATTTTGTTAGTTTATGGTTTCAGTTCCATATGTTCTCCCAATCTGATAGTTTTATGTTGTGTCCAATATTTTGACCCCATGCAATCATGCATCCTTTCACTACTTCTTCCTCCAGTTCTACTTCCAGAAGATATTTGGAAATTTTAGTAATATTTTTTTTGTCTGATCCTAATAAAATTGTATCTAATTGTTGTGGTGTAAGATATATTCCATAATCTTTTATATCTTGTTTATATCAGTTTTGTAATTGGAGATAAGCCCACCAGTCAACTTGTAGCCCTTGTTTTTGGAGGTCCTGTATTGTTTTTAACTTTCCATGGTTATCTAATAGGTCTTTATATTTTAACATTTTGTTCAAATCTAAATTGTTTGGGTGGATCATCGCTTCCATTGTGAATAAATCCCATTGTGGGATTTTTATGTAATCGCAGAGTTGCCAGGTATCCACTATTTGAGCGGACAGTCCACTTTTTCACATTATGTTCACTATTTTTTTTCACAAAATAGAGGACTTTTTCTTATTCAAAAGCTTTATGATGAAATGGTATGTAATCTAAAGCTGTACAGTCTAAGAGAATAAGGATAGGAGAATCACATTTTGTCTTTTTTTTCATAAGTTAGAATGAGACAAAGATTGAATATCCATTGAACTCGATTCTCCGAAAAAATTAATGATGAGATTAAAATAAAAATATATTATAAAATTATGTACAGTTCACATTTTTAAAATGTATTGTAGCTTGTGTCGACTGACCTAAAATGGCGTCGAGTGATGAGAGTGACAGCGGCGAGATTTCAAATTCTTTAAAACGAAAGAGAGGAGTGTGCAAATACACCAAAGACTGGGAAACTACTTTTGTATGGATTACCAACAACGAAACCGACAGAACAAATATGACGGCCTACTGTAAATTGTGTCAGAAATCGTTCACAATTGAATATAATGGTATAAAAGCTGTCACACAGCATGCAAGCACAAAAAATCATTTAGATAAGGAGAAAATAGCTTCCAGCAACAAGCGAATCAATTCATTTTTCATTGTTAAAGACTCCTCTTTCAGTGAGAAAGTGACTGTAGCTGAAATGGCTGAAATTTACCATGGGATCAAACACCATATTTCTTTCTTGGCTCAAGATTGCAGTATTAAGTTAATGAAGCAAATTTTTGATGATTCAGAAATTGTAAAAAAGATGTCTTGTGGAAGAACCAAATCATCAGCTATTGTCAATGAGGTTTTGTATCCTTTTTCTATTGAGTTGGTTCTCAATGATCTTAAAACTGGAATTCCATTTTCTCTCTCCTCTGACGCATCAAACAAGGGAAATCGCAAAATGTATCCCGTTGTTGCACAATATTTTACTTGTGAAGAAGGACTGTGTGTGAAAATTTTAGACTTTTATGAGGATTCTTTCGAAGATTCTACATCAATAAAAAATCAGCTGTGTCGAGTTCTTAGTGATAACTAATTGGAAATAAATAATGTTTCAGCTTACTCAGCAGATAATGCATCGGTCAATTATGGAGTGAACAAATCTGTTTACCAAAAATTATTGCTGGAAAATGACAATATTGTAGCTGCTCATTGCAATAATCACATTTTACACAACAGTGCAAAAAATGCATTAAAGCAGTTATCTTTTGATATCGAAAATGTAGTGCTGAAGGTTTCTGCCAAATTTTCGAATTCTGTGAAGAAACGAGAAGAGTTGAAATCATTTTTTGAGTTTTGCGAGTCAGAATTCCATGAAGTTTTGCGCCATGTTCCAACACGTTGGTTAAGTTTGTTTAAAGCAGTCGAAAGACTTCTTTTAAACTGGATACCTCTAAAATCACATTTTATTTCTCTTGGATCTGATGAGTGCCATAAGGTTATCTGGAACCTTATTTTGGATCAGGAAAATGAACTCGTAAAGGACGATGAACCAACAATTTCAGAATTGTATTTATATTTCACGCACTTCTTCATGTCAATAATGCAAGACAACCTACTGAAGCTGGAAAGCAAGAAAATTCTTGCATGTGAACTTCACATTATCATGTGTAAGCTGCGTGATTCTTTGCAAAAAAAATACGATGAGCAGTTTTTTGGAATGAAAGTTTTATTTGCCTTACGTAAAAAACATTGCCTGAGAATGCCGTGCAAAAGTTCAAGAAAGAAGCCATCAACGTGTATCAAAGAGCCATTGCGTACCTAGAAAAGTGGTATAATTTCACCGATTCAGTATATGAGACACTAAGTTGTTTCAATCTAATCGATCGCAATAATCCTCCAACTTTAGAAGAAATGACGAACATCTGGTTATTATCACCATGGCGAGAAGTACTTCCACCCAACACTCTCTTCGATGAAATTTCTGCCTTAGAAGAAGTTTATGTTCATCTGCAGGGCGATTCATCCCTTGATAAGTGGACGTACTTTTTCAAGAAAGAGCCAGCTCTGAGTTTACTGAAACTGTTCCAGTATTGTGCATCAATTCCGGTATCAAATGCAAACGTTGAACGAATTTTCAGCATCATGGGAAATTTGTGGACTGACGAACATAACCGATTGCTTGTACCATCAGTTCAAAGTGAACTTTGTATATTTTTAAATATTTCTCAATGTTGTACTGAAATTAAAGAATTATTACTTAAACACAAAGAATTGATCAAAGTTGCACAGTCAGATAAAAAAATACACACGACAGCAAAGTAAAATGTAATTTAATATTTTACATATTATTATATTTGATGTTTTGAATTTTAAGTAAAGTTTTGAAGTGATTATTTTAATATGTGTTAAAATGTTTGTAAGAAAATATATAATTTAATTGTAATTTTTTTTTATTTTTTTACTACTTAACACCCCCCCCCACCCGCTTGTCCGCTATTTTTGGGAAGCAGACCTGGCAACCCTAATGTAGTGTTTCTTTTTAACTTTAATCCAATTATTTATTAGCAAATTTCTAATCAAGTGTCTGTGGAAGTATTGTTTTGTAGGTCCTGTTTCCCACAGAAAGGCAAGCCATCCTCTCTACATGTTGTGACAGTCTATAGTAGTATTCTTTATTCTTCAAATTGATCCAATCTTTTAACCAAACTAATGTTGCTGCACTATAATATAATTCCCAGTTTGGCAATCCAAATCCTCCTCTGTTCTTCAGATCTTGTAGTAATTTCATTTTTATTCTGGGTTTTTTCTTCTGCCAAAAATTTTTTGCTGTTGTTTTATTAAGGTCATTAAAAAAGGTCTTTTCTAATTTAACTGGGATGGTCTGGAACAAGTATAGAAATTTTGGTAATATAGACATTTTTAAGGTTGCTATTCTTCCTAAAAGTGACAGTTGCATGTTAGTCCATAGTTCTAAATCTTTGTTTGTGTAATAGTTTGTTATAGTTATTCTCCTTTATCGATTTGCAGTGCACTGTCAACCATATACCTAAGTATTTGATTTTTCTTGTTGTTTGGAGTCCAAATGTTCTTTCCAATTCTGTTATTTGTAGTTCTGTTAAATTTTTCATTAGAATTTTCTTTTTCTGTCTATTAATTTTCAGTCCTGCTACCGTTCCATATCTTTCTAATTCCTTAATTAATGTTTGTCCTTTCTCTATTGGGTTTTCGATAATAAAAGCCAAATCATCTGCAAATGCTTGCAATTTATATTCTTCATTTCTGGTTTTCAATCCTTTTATTTCTGAATTTTGTCTAATTCGTTCTAATAATACTTCTAGTGACAGTATGAAGAGCAGAGGAGATAGAGGACAACCTTGTTGAACTCCTTTCTCTATATTTAAAGTTTCGGTGTTTTCTCCATTAATTATAATTTTTGCTTTTTGTATCAAATATATTGCCATTATAATATTCTCAAATTTAGTGCCAAAATTCATATTATAAACTTGTTGAATCATAAATTACCAATTGAGGTTGTCAAATGCCTTTTGGGCATCCAAGAAAACAAAGGCTAATATTCTAAACTGTCCATTATTATTCTTAAATTATTCCTGATTTGTCTATTTGGAAGAAATCCATTTTGATCTAAGCATTCTTTAGCATGCTAATTTGAGATTGGAATCTTCTTCAGAGATCTTTGGAAAGACCGTCTTTGTTTTTCCACTTCTATTTCCTTCACCAATTTCTCTACAGTTGTTGCTGTAATACTGCTTCTTGTCTGTTCTAACAGTTCTCTGAAACCCAAAAGACGAGAATAGATATAGTTCATGTTTAAACTGTGGAGTCCTTGGTGCTCTCTAACCTTGCTTACAGATATTTCATTACCCAAGCGGGATTCAACTGCTTCTAGCCTATTCGCTAGAACCGGTAGTTAACTTTCTAAACAGTTCGGAGAACTGGTTGTTGGAAGAAATCGCCTTTTGTTTTTTTCCCACTTTACATGGCTAATCCTGTAAGGAAGGCATTCTGCTGTTGTTTCTAGCCTAATCTTTATTGCCCTGCTTACAGAAACTGCCTCTCAGTTAACCTTTATTAAATCTAGCAGCTAAAGGTTCCTGGCAGTACGCCCAGACTTACTAACTCCGGAGTCTTTTTTCCCCCTTTGCTGGTTCTTGACTTTGTTTTAAGATTTTTGTTCTGGTAATTGGTTTAACAAGCAACAGCTACTGTGTTTGCTCCTTTGCTACATTGTAGCGCTAATTGTTTTCTTCGTTGTTCGGCTTATCTCAAGTGTTTACACTTGAGCTTGTCTGGGGTGTGAGCTCTGGAAATGAGCTTTTGTGTTTTAGTTTTAAAAGGATTTAAACTTTTGTGATTTAATTATTTGTATTGTTTTTGAATTTTTTCCTGCCTCGTGGTTTCTTTTTCTATCTGGGGAGGGGATCTTTTCCCCTGCTTTAATGATTCTGGCACTGTCTTCTGAACTACTCAAAATTTCTGCTACCGGTTCTCCAAACTGCTCAAAATTTCCGCTACTGGTTCTCCAGAACCTGTCAGAACCTGCTGGATTTCACCCCTAGTGTACTTCCAAGGGACACAATGCAAGCTTGGCACTGATTTTTTTTTTACTGCCTTTCTGGGGGAGCAGAGCAGAGCAACAAATGATGATTAAGGGACTGGAGGCTAAAACATATAAAAAGTGGTTGCTGAAATTGGGTATGTCTAGTTTAATGAAAAGAAGGACTAGCAGTGACATCATAGCAGTATTCCAATATCTTAGAATTTGCCACAAAGAAGAGGAGGTCAAGCTATTCTCCAAAGCACCTAAGGACAGGACAAGAAGCAATGGATGGAAACTAATCAAGGAGAGAAATAACCTAGAACTAAGACGAAATTTTCTGACAGCTGAAACAATTAATCAGTGGAACAACTTGCCTCCAGAACCTGTGTTTGCTCCAATGCTGGAAGCTTTTAAGAAGGGATTGGACAACCATTTGTCTGAAATGGAATAGGATATCATGCCTGAGCAGAGGATTGACTAGAAGGTCCCTTCCAACTCTGTTTTTTATTTCTATATATAAGTGCAATAGTTCTTCTATATGCACAACAATGGAAAGATTTGGCACTACTCACAATGGAATAGTAGATGGTAAAGATGATGGCGCTTGAGAGATGGCTAAACTGAGTGCCTTGATCAAAGGAAAAAAAACACTAATTAAATTTTCAGATATTTTTCATGAAACAAAAAAAATGAAATTATGATATGTAGATTTTATGATTATAAATGATAGATGGTTGAAAAAAATGAAAATTACATTGCAACCATAAATTAGGAGTTTAATGCAAATTTATAATGGTTGGGGAAAAAAAGGAAATCAATTTCTATTTATTTCTTCTTTCTTTTTTCCTGCACATTTGGCTTTGTTCTTTTTTTCTGTACTTCTTTCCTTTCTCTTAAATACTGTTTTCTGTAAGTTATCTTTTTTATTTAAAATTTAATACATTTTAGAGATCCTGTCAGCCATTAACTGAATCAGATATCTAACAGTGAGATCTCAAATTCTACTGATTCACACCTTTGGTGGATTTTGTCCTCAGCTCAGTAAGAAGTATGGTCCAGTTTTTACTCTCTGGATAGGAACAAAGCCACTCGTTGTGATTTGCGGATATGAGGCAGTGAAAAGTGCTTTGGTAACTCATAGTGAAGAATTTGGTGGACGACCTTCAGTACCTATCCTCCATCAAGTAACAAAGGGCAATGGTAAGTGTAGACATTATTTTCACTTTGATTTCAGATGTAGTTTTCATTTCTAGAGGAAAGAAAAAAACATTAACTTTTTCAGGCAAGTGATGGTGGCCAATATTTTTTTTTTAGGAATAAAAAATGAAATAGCTAAATCTGTTAGAGGAACTTGAAAATCTGTTTAGTCAAAATGCCAATTAAAGGATAAAGTATTAAAACAAGAAAGAGCAGGGCACGGAAACCTGTGTTTAATATCTGCTTAGAAACTACAGATTTCAGAACTGTCACTCCTCAGGCCTTTTTAAAGCCAAATTTAAAAGTGAACTAATTAAATAGGGCCAAATCCAAATCGTAATAGTGAAAAACTTTCAATGAGAACCAACAGAAATATCTACTAATATGCTTTAAAATACATTAGATAATGCTAGATATATTTTTTCTTTAGAATTTCATAGTCATTAAGTCATCAAGTTTCAGCTAGAAGCTTTGACAAAATTTATTTCCAACCATTAGTTTATGTTTCCTTTTTTAAAAAGGAAGGGAGGGAGGGAGGAAGATTTGCCCTTTGCCATTTTTAGGACATATTACATTGGCAAAAGTACAACATTGTGCAATACTGAAACTATCAAACTCATAATACACTTTGAAGCCATCAGATACTACTTGCTGCTTCAAATGTTCATCATGCTGATCGGCAAATCTACTTTGAGGGGGTGAACTGATAGAAAATTTATTGAAATGAATCACTCTTTCAAAGCTGGGCATAGCCTTACAACTTGGATTCAAGCCTTCTAAAATTAATAGCTTGCAGGTAGGTGTTGCAATCAGGAGGCCTTTTCAAACTTTATCCAGTAATTCAGTTCTCATCAGATTGCTGTCAAGTTCCAAAATTGAGGTCGTCAAATTTCAGGATATATTGAAGGAATAGAAAATAACACTTTTGTTTTTCAAATATAGCTTTTGTTTATGTATGTTGGTGGGCATGTTGGTATAAAGTTGAATAAGAAAAGTTCAAGCCCATAATCAAATCAAATTTCTTTTCCTTTTGCCAAAGTATCAATGACTTTTGAAAGAAGAAATAAAATTTTATTTGAGCAGGGTAGATGCTTTCTGGATGGGAGTGAATATCAGATAAGTTGCTTTTTTATTCTTTAAAACAAATGTTCTAGTGTCTGTTACCTGTTATTGCCAACTTTTATCCTTCCAGGGCTTATTAGTGAATACAAGAAATGGAAGGTTATGCGTCGTTTTACTCTCACCACATTACGGAACTTTGGAATGGGACGGAAGTCAATGGCTGAACGGATGTTGGAAGAAGCCCACTATTTGGTGAAGAAGTTAACAACCTTTGAAGGTGATCTTACATTGCAGAAGATTTTTATTTATTTATAGAATTATATCCCATCTTTAGGCATACAACACAAGGTAGTATACATAATATTCCTGCCTCTATTTGTCCTGCAACAACAATACTGTGAAATGGTTTATTTGTTTACCGTGTTTTTCAGAGTATAAAACGCAACTTTTTACCCCCCCCCCAAAAGGGGGTGAAAATTTAGGTGCGTCTTATACACCAAATGTAGCCCTGCCCACCCACAGGCCCCCACCCGTTGGCCTGTGCCTCGCAGCAGTTACCTTCTTGCAAGAAACAGCAAGAAAAAACAGCCCTTTTCAGCTTCAGCATAGGTTAATTAGCACAAGTTGATTAGATCAGCCTCCTGACTCTCAGCTGTTTTGCTCAGGGCTCTCCTGCTTGCTGCAGAGTGCTGGAGCAGATTTTTTTCCCCTAGCTATGCTGAAAAAATGAAACTGAAAATAAAGCAGGCTCTTTGCTGGTGACAAAATGAGGCAGAGAGAGATTTCTTTTTTTTTTTCCTCACCAAAAAAGGTAGGTGCAAACAATGGGAAATTTAGGGCAAAAGAGAGAGTTCAAGATTTTAAAACACAAAAGAAAAAAAGCTCTATTTAACTAGGAATTGTAATAATTGAGATTCTATTAATTGTATATTGTGTTGAAAGCAGAAATGGTTAAGTTGTGGTTTAGAGGAATATATGAGGGAAATTATTTGGTTTATTATTATTGGTAAATATAATTAATTGATTTGTAAGAAATTGGATTGCATGGAAATAATTGGAATATTCATGTTCATATTGATTAATATACAAAAAAGATAGTTATAACTAATTGATTTATATAAAAATATTGAATTTGTATTAAACAATTGTAATATTAAATAATTAACCAATGTGAGGATGGATATAAAAATAGATGACAATGGGAAGGGGTATAATATAGAATAGAAGGGAAAAATTGAATTTGATTAAGATTAGAGATGAGAATGAAGGGTAATACTGGTTTTTTAAAAAAAATAAATGAGGAATAAATATGGCAAAAAGGAAATATAGAAATTGTAAATTTAATTGAAATGACTAAACACTGTTTAAATTTGTGAACCAGCCAAATACTCTGTTCAAAGAAAATACATTGGTATGTTTGTATGTATGTTTGTCTAAAAAATATATAAAAAAAACTTTTTTAAAAAAACAACAACCAAAAAAGGTAGGTGCGTCTTATACTCCAAAAAATATGGTATTTATAAGTCCAGAAACAAATACTTTGTTTTTTATTGAATTAATACTCTGCCTTATGTATTGGATTATTATATGTAAATTCTGTGAGGGGCAGCAGTGATGGCCAGTAGTCCTGGCTGTAAGTCCAATAACATGTCAAATATTGTTGCAATATCTAGTTAATTTTCTCAGCATCTCCATATGCAGCAGTGGAATGGGCAGCTGACAAACCGAATTGTACCTACAAAAGCTGGAACAGTATCCTCCAAAACCTGGAAGTAAATTGACTTCTGCAATCTGACACCACTCCATTCCTCTATAAAGAAAGAAATGATCCAAAATATCTGAGCACGCTTCCTTGCCTTCGGGAAACCCTTGCAAGAAATAAAATGTGCCATTTTGGTGAAAAGATCCACCATCATCAACATGGATGTATAACTCTGCACAGGTGTCAAGTCTGTTATAAAGCCAATTGACATTGAATGCCAAAGCTGGGAAGAAGTGTTTCTAGGGACTATAAAAGTCTGTTGGCTTGCAATAGAATAGAAGAATAGAATAAAAGAATGGAATGGAATGGAATGGAATGGAATGGAATGGAATGGAATGGAATGGAATGGAATAGAATAGAATAGAATAGAATAGAATAGAATAGAATAGAATAGAATAGAATAGAATAGAATAGAATAGAATAGAATAATAGAAATAGAATAGAATAGAATAGAATAGAATAGAATAGAATAGAATAGAATCCGTAGTAAATAAAGCCCCCCTCATTTGTGATCTTGTTCAGGAGGGGGAGCGGATCTGGCAGGAATTACGGAGACCTGGTTAGGCCAAGAGGGGGGTCCCCCTCGTTGAAATGTGCCCTCCTGGTTTCCGTGCATTTCATCAACCGAGGTCACAGGGTAGGGGCGGGGTGGTGGTGGTTATTATAAAAGAAGGTCTTGGTCTGAGGGAGGCCACTGTTCCTCAGTTTGCCGGTTGTGAGTCCCTCCTGGTGAAGTGGGGTCATGGGGTACAGGTGAGCTTGCTGATCACGTACCTGGCTCCCTGCCAGGTGGCAGGGCCCTGCCCAAACTGCTCAACGTTATAGCCGGGGTGGCGGTTGATACCCCAAGGCTTATGGTCATGGGGGATTTTAACCTGCCATCCATCAGTGAAGCGTCTGAGGCAGCGCGGGAGTTCATGGCTTCCATGACAGCTATGGACCTGACCCAGTTAGTGCATGGCCCTACTCACGTGGGGGGAAACACTCTGAACTTGGTTTTTGTCTCTGGTCAGTGGCTGAATGATCTCGATACTGGGGATATAGTGACTGAACCCTTCTCGTGGTCGGATTATTCCCTCCTTCACCTTGACCTTCGAACTGCTATACCCCGCCACAGGGAGGCGGAACCGATGAGGTGGTTCCGCCCCAGGCGCCTGATGGACCTGGATTGGTTCCAGACGGAGCTTGGGCCGTTTCCTGAGGCTCTGGCTCATGGCTTGACCGAAGACCTGGTGGCTGCCTGGAATAGGGCGGCCGCTGGAGCTTTGGATCAGGTCGTGCCTTTGTGGCCTCTGACTCGGCACCGATCTCGCTTGGCTCCTTGGTTCACCAAGGAGCTGAGGGAGATGAAGTGCCGGAAAAGACGCCTGGAGAGCGGTTGGAGGGCCAGCCGGTCTGAATCTGACTGAACACTGGTAAGGTCTCATATTAAGACTTAACTTGTGGTGATAAAAGCGGCGAAATGTAACTATTTTTCCGCTCTTATTGCGTCATCAGATAACTGCCCGGCCGCCCTGTTTAGGGTGACCCGCTCCCTGCTCCTTCAGGAAGCGCGGGAGGACCCCTTGGAGGATAGAGCCGAGGACTTTGTACAGTATCTGTATGATAAAATCACTCAGATTTGGGAACATCTGGACTCCGACTGGGTAGTCTCAGGGGGAGGGACTGGGGCAGGCCTTGAGAATATTATCTGGGAAGAGTTCGATTCTGTGATCCCCGAAGACGTGGACAGGATACTGAGTAGACTGAACGCTGCCACATGTTTATTGGACCCGGGTCCCTCCTGGTTGGTGCTGGCCTCTCGGGAGGTTACACGAGGCTGGCTCCAGGGGATTATAAATGCTTCCTTGAATGAGGGTGCCTTTCCCACCGCCTTGAAAGAGGCGGTGGTGAGACCTTTCCTCAAGAAGCCTTCCCTGGACCTGGCAGTATTGACTAATTACCATCCAGTCTCCAATCTTCGCTTTGTTGTGAAGGTTGTTGAGAGTGTGGTAGCACGACAGCTCCCTGGATGAATCAGCTTATCTGGCTCCGTTCCAGTCGGGCTTCAGGCCTGGGTTCAGCACAGAAACAGCATTGGTCGCATTGGTTGATGATCTCTGGAGGGCTCAGGACAGGGGTTGCTCCTCTGTCCTGGTCTTTTTTTTTTTTTATTGAAAAAGTTTTCAAATACAAGTTTTTCCCCCTTCCCCCCCCCTCTTCCCTAACCCCCCCTCACCACCCATCCCCCCCTGTGACTTCTTCACAACATTAAGCTAATTCATAACTAATTACATAATATTTTACCATTCCCTTACTCCCTCCTCAAAATACTGACCCTTAGCATAATATTCTTATAACCCCCATTTTCGCAATAATCTGCCCTTTTTCTCCTCCCCCAAACTTATAGTATATTATTATAACAACATAACATTTAATCTTTTATATATATTAATATAACATTTCAAAGCAGCCTTCTCCCCACATCCAAATTTAACATTTATTCAATTCTATCCAATTCCTCCACTCCCCTAAATATATGACTTAAAAATCCTTTTTCTTAAACTAATCAATTAGTAAACTAACCTATTTCAACCCAGTTTCCCGCAAAATTACCATGCACTACAATTCTAAGTATGAACCACTGCCCACTCTGCTAAAATATACATATATCTATGTATACATTCCATTTTATATATATAAAAAAAAAGACAATAACTTTAAATTTATAATCCATATAATATCTTCTTTGACGTCTTTCCACTGGATTGTTGAGTCCATCATCCATAATTGGGTAACATAGCATCCTGGTGCAACAGTTTGTTCAAAATCTTCAGTCTTCATCTGCCCCCATCAGTAATGAATATCCTCATATATATATAAGAGTAAAAACAACCACCCGAGTGACATTATAATTATATTCCATATAGTTGTAATTGTGGTTTTCATCAGGATTATTAATTCCCATCATCCTAGTGGGTAACAGCCAGATCTTCTGCATGCCCCAGCATGACTCTCTTGCCTTGTAACTCGAAATAGTTATAATATATTTATCGGTAAAAGAAATCCAAAATAGATAATTCAAATCCAACAATGTAAGGCTCTTTTCACATCCCAAAATCACGGCATTGCAGAGGTCTGCCACTATCCTCAAGATAGTATTAAACAATACTTCGCTGTTGCTTAGTTTAGAAACTACTATTTCTATGAGATCTGTTTCTTTTCTTTTTCTTTTGCGGGTTGAATTTCCATCCTGGTTTCCTTCCTACAAATTGTGTATCAGCTAGTTGATCTTGTTGGTTTTGTTTTATTATCTCGTATTTCTTTTCCATCACTTGTATATCAACTGGTTGATTTACACACTTGTCTGTAGCTTGATAATTCGTCACATTGGAATCAGATGACACTGCTCTCATATTTATAGACAGTCCAGCTGGGGTATCCAGGGAGTCCGAAGACAATTTATCTACCACAGCCTCTATAATTTGATATTTTCCCTTTGTTTCCAACTCCTTTTGTTTGTCCTGTATTATGCCTAAAGATGTTAAATTCTTTTTTAAGATTTTTTGATAAAATTCTTCCGCTTTTTCAACAGTGTTCAGTTGGTATCTTACTCCTTGGTGTCTGAATATTAAACCAGCTGGAACATCCCACCTAAATAGGATATTTCTTTTTTTTAACTCAGACACTAGAAAACCAAATTTCTTCCTCTCCATTAACATCTTGGGCGGGAGCTCCTTAAAAATCCAAATCTTTCTTCCATGAAATTGCAAAGTAGAACTAAAAGAATTCTGCACAATATCATTTCTTATTCCTTTATCAGTAAAATAAATCACCACATCTCTAGGCAATTGCTTTTGTTTTGCCAACCAGGAGTTTATTCTATAAATTCTGTCAATCCTGCAAAACACTTCATCAGGTTGAACCTTTAAAATCCCAGCCAGAATTTCAGAAGATATCTTCCTTAAATCATCTCTGTCATTTTCCTGCAGACCTCTCAGTCTAATTGCATATTCTGTAAAATTATATTGAATCATTAAAACTTCTCTTTCAATCCTCTGTTGTACATTTTCTTCATTACCAATCTTTTGGTCAGCCTCCATTTTAGGTTTGTCTTCTGAACTATTATCCTGAATGTTTGCCAAATCCTTTTTAATTTTTTGGATCTTGTCGTCCAAATTCTCCTCAGTTTCTTTCATTTTAGACTCTAATAATTTGGTATTTGTATCCAACTGAATCACAAAGTCTGCTAAACCATTAGCTGTTTTTAAAATCTTTCGATCCAAAAAGTCAAACTTAGATTTCACCAATTCACCAATTTCTTTAATTTCCAGCTTAAATTTTTCAAGTTGCTGATTCACAATCTCATCCCTTCTTACAATCTCCTCAAGAAGAAATTCTATTATATTAAAATCAGGTTTCTGAGACTGGAGAGTTAGAACTTGTTGATGTAATTTGTTAATGGGGGAATCCCCCCCCACTGCCTGTTTGTCTAACTTTATAAGTCTCAGCGCCATTTTTCCACACAGACAAGATTTACTGGAAAAGAGAAAAAAAAAAGCTTTTTTCCAACCAAGATCAATATCAGATCCCCAGGAAAAGAAAAGGAAAAAAAAACAAGAGTGAGAGTGAGGTTTTGCCTTCAATTACAGCCAGAAGTATTCGCTCCGCTACTTTGTAATAGAAAACGGAAGGACTTTCCCCTTCAGCCTCTCTTCAAGCCGCAGCAGTCACAGCAGCAATCGCCATTTTAAAAATCTTTTTTCCTTTCACTTCTTAAACAACTTCAATAACTTTTCTAAAATAAGAAGAATACTTGCGCTTCAGGATCAGAGGTCCAGCTCACATCTTCTTTGATTAATTTAACAGATTTGCAGGCTTGCTTTTGCCCCCTAGCTCTGCGTGTAGCAGAGATCTCCCAGAGCCCGGAGCATCGGCTGGGGATATGGGGAGTCTCTTCCGCTCCCTCCCAAAAGTAAATAAAAAACTTTTGGGATTAGGCAGAGGACTCTACCCACCCCAGCCGGCTCTATCTCTGTTTCCTAATGGAAACGGAGTTTTTTCGAGCCGCCATTCCGCTGAAAAAGGCGGCTCTTACAGGCAGTGGGTTCGACGATCCCGAGGGAGCGTCCGGCGGGGACAAACAGCAAACCGGAAGTCCGCTCCTCTGTCCTGGTCTTATTAGACCTCTCAGCGGTTTTTGATACCATCAACCATGGTATCATGCTGCACCAGCTGGAAGAGTTAGGGGTGGGGGGCATCGTGTTGCGATGGTTCTCCTCCTTTCTCTCCGACCGGTCGCAGTCTGTGTTGGCAGGGGAGCAGAGATCGACGCCGAGGCCCCTTGTATGTGGGGTGCCACAAGGGTCGGTCCTCTCGCCCCTTCTGTTCAACATTTATGTGAAGCCGCTGGGTGAGATCATCCGTGGTTTCGGAGTGAAGTACCACCAGTATGCTGATGACACCCAGCTGTACATCTCCACCCCAGACCACCCCAATGATGCCCTTGAAGTGATGTCCTGGTGCCTGGAGGCTATACGGATCTGGATGGGGAGGAACAGACTCAGGCTTAACCCAACCAAGACCGAGTGGCTGTGGTTTACGACATCCCGATATAGTCAATTGGTGCCATCACTGACTATTGGGGGCGAGTCGTTGTCCCCCACAGAGAGGGCTCGCAACTTGGGCGTCCTCCTGGACTCACAGCTGTCTTTAGAAGAGCACTTGACGGCTGTGGCCGGGAGGGCATTTTATCAGGTTCGCCTGATTCGCCAGTTGCGTCCCTTTCTGGATCGGGACTCATTAAATATGGTCACTCATGCCCTCGTCACTTCCCGCCTGGACTACTGCAATGCTCTCTACATGGGGCTCCCCTTGAGGAGCACTCGGAGGCTCCAACTGGCGCAGAGTGTGGCCGTGCAGGTGGTGACGGGAGCGACATGGTGCTCCCATGTGACCCCCCTCCTGTGCGAACTGCACTGGCTCCTGGTGGTGTTCCGGGTGCGCTTCAAGGTTTTGGTTACTACCTTTAGAGCACTCCATGGCTTAGGACCGGGGTATCTACGAGACCTCCTTCTGCCACCAGTAGCCTCTCACTGACCAGTATGCTCCCATAGAGAGGGGCTTCTCAGAGTGCCGTTGGTCAAACAGTGTCGACTGGCGGCCCCCAGGGGGAGAGCCTTCTCTGTTGGGGCACCTTCCATCTGGAATGAGCTCCCCCCGGAGATACGGAGGATCCCGGATCTGCACGTTTTCCGCCGTGCCCTCAAAACATTTCTATTCCAGCAGGCCGGCCTGGCATAACCTCTCTTTTAAACTGTTTTAAAAAAAATTAAATTTTTTTTAAATTTTAAATTTGTCTTATAAATTTGGGGTGTTTTAAATTTCATTTTCTGGGCCAAATTATTTAATTGTATTTTAATGGTTTTTTAACATTTGTATTATATGTATTTTATTTTGGCTGTTCACCGCCCTGAGTCCTTCGGGAGTAGGGCGGTATACAAATTCAATAAATAGATAGATAGATAGATAGATAGATAGATAGATAGATAGATAGATAGATAGATAGATAAATAAATAAAATAAGCATATAGCTCTAAGCAGACATGTCAAATTCAAGGCCTGCAGACCAGATCTGGCCTGCAATGTGGTTAGATCTGGCCTGGTCTGGAATTGGCAAGGGGCCAGCCCCGGTGGCCTCGACCTTGGCCCACCATGCACAGGAGATGGCAAGGGTTTGGGGGCTGGCCACTCGCCAATTCCAGACCAGGCCAGATCTAAACGCATTGTGGGCCAGATATGCCTGGGTGCACACACAGGAGGTGGCAAGCATTTAGGGCCCGGCAGTGCCTGGCAGCAGCTGCAGTTTGTTGGCCTCAATTCGCCCCATCCCATCTGGCCTCACAGAAGTGATCACAGTGGGGTGGGGGGTGCTAAAAGCAACTTGGAGCAGCGGTACCATGCAGAAGCAATTGCAGAGTGGTGAGGGTGGCGACGTCAGGCAAAATGGGGCAAGCCATTGCTGCCACATTTGGGGGTCTGTGTGGCGCCCATGCTGCTGAGGGATAGCAAAGCTGCAGGCAGGGCAGGCTTTGGCCTAATTTTCTAAACAGAAACAATTCAGAGGCTTCATTTAGACCCCCCCCCCCGAATCCCTGCAATATGATTCGGTGGTGTGTGGGAGATTGTCAGACCTTCAGAATCAGGTTATAACTCCCTTTTCCAGATAGGTAGTAACATTGAAAAGTCACTTAGCAACTGGCCACTTATTACCTGTATTAAAAAATTATTATAAAGTCATTACAGAAAAAGATTTGGAAATGAAAATGTGGCCATATAATCTCTTCTTTCCTTTTGATATTACAGGTCAATCCTTTGACATAGTCCCATCCATCACATCTGCTGTTTCTAATGTTATGTGCTCTGTTGTCTTTGGGAATCGATTCTCTTATGAAACCAAAATCTCTGAACTATTGGAAATCTTACAGGCATTCTCAGGATTCTTTGTGAGTCCTTTAGGAACGGTATGTTGACTGTATGTGCTTCTGCAAGCAGAGATTTCTTCTTATAAGTGATTCTTGCCAGTTATTGAATACATTGAGGAATGCTGGTGCAATTGTTAGAATGCAGTATTGCAGGCTAATTTTGCTTACTGTCAAGAGTTTGATTCTCACCAGCTCAAGGTTGACTCAGTCTTCCATCCTTTCAAGATCAGTAAAACAAGGACACAGATTTTTGGGAGAAATATGCTGAGAGGGCTGTAAAGCACTGTTAAGTGGTATATAAATCTAAGCATTATTGTCATAATGCTTCAGCCTTGCTTTTTCTTTTCTTTTCTTTTTTTTTTGAAAAAAGTTTTATTTTAAATAAAAATAAAAAACAACATAAAAATATCATCCTTACAAACAATTACAGACAGCATCTTGATGGGTTAAAATCATTTTGTGCCTGCAATTTTCCAAATCTCATCATACGACAATTATTCTTTACTCGAACAGAAGATAGATATTTAAACATTTCATTGAAATTTCATTTCATATATACTATCTTATCTCCATACTTTATTGCCAAATCATTGATAGAATATCTCCCATATCAAATATTGTTTATCTTCCTGTTCTCTTATTTCAAATGTCAATCTACTCATTTCAGCACAGTCCAACATTTTCTTAATAATTTCTTCATTGATGAAGCCTTGCTTTTTCTGAGCCAACTATTCTACTACCCATTTCAGAGTGACATTCATAAATAATTGCTTTTTACGTCTTCCAAAAGTACTCCACTTTCATTCTACTATTTCTCATAGTAGCAACTGAGGATATATAAACAAAGAGAGAAAAAAACATAACTAGATAAGCTGAATGTCCATAGCATACATATTTTATATTCATTTAGTCAGCAGGCACTGCAAAAAAAATCAATAACTGGTCTTGCATAATGTTTATTTTTAACAAATAGAAATAAAAGGGCACTTAATAGAGAAATGGGTTTTTCTGTGTAGTTCTTAAAGCAGAGCACAAGAGATGAACTGGCAATGGTTAACTTTTACTATTACCATGTTTCAGGTGTACAGCGCTTTACCAAATATAATGAATTTCTTTCCTGGACCTCATAAGAAAGTTTTCTCTGACTGTAACAAGATCTGTGACTTCATTAGAAATGAAGTGGACACTCACAAGAAGACCCTGGATCCAGACAATCCTAGAGACTTTATTGATTGCTTCCTTCTTAAATTAGAAAAGGTACCATAGCAAGGATATTTTATTTGCAAGGATAGTTCACACACAAGTACAAAATATGCATTTGTGCCCCATTTTCTTGAGATGCCCATGATGGTGAGCAAGTTGTACTATTGAAACAGCAGAAAGCAAAAGAACTGATGTCTCCCAACTCTGCCACAAATGTTATATGAAGCCTTCTAGGAGTAGCGGCCATTATAAACAAACAAATTCCCTCCTTAAGAAATGGTTGCGTGGATCTGCTCTGTAATTTCAGCACTGAAGGAGGTACCACAGATCACATCTGCATCCTGTCAGGCATTAGTAAAGCCAGCTTGGTAGTAGTAGATAAAGCTGCAGAACAGAGAAAAGTTATCTTTTTGGGAGCTGAAAGACCTGAAGATAGCGACCTTTGGATGTGCTCCCTAAAATGATTTGAGCCAGGACAAAAATTGAGTGTGATTTAATTGCCTTAAAAATAATTAAAGAATTACCCATCCATTCAATCTTTTGCACTTAAACTATAATTCAGTGGCAACTTTTGAAAAAGTTACAAGGGGTACAAGGTGACAGAATGCCAATTTTGGATACAAGTTTTTGTTTAGTTTAGTTTTGTGCCAAAATTAGAATAAGGGTAGAACTGCTCAGAGAATTGCAGTCTCCTATTTAAATCCTGTAATCCTCCAATCCACCTCAAAATACACCAAATAACACCCATGAAATCAGTAGTATGATTCTGGAACTTTTTGCATTGAGTCCTTTTTAAAATGTGGAAATAGGAGAATGTTTCTATCAAAGGACTCCTACTCATTTTTCTATTCTTAAAAATGGAGGAGAAGGTTACAAATATCCCTGTCCTTGTTGGACAGTCCCTGGAAAAACCCCTGGGGCCCTTCTACCGGCAAAGGAGGCTATTGTTCCAACACAGGGAAATTACCCATCTGTTATTTATGTTTTAGGACACTTGGCAGTATCAGAAAAAGTGCAACACTGTGCCGGGTTGCTAGATTGCAGCTAGCAAAACATTCAGTGAAAGAGTAAGATGGATGCTGCTGAGTCATGAGATAGCAAATGCCCGTTGAACATTAAGTAGAGCAAAGCCTTGTGGCTCTTACTAGAACTTAAAAGAAATATGAAAGGGGACATCAGTAAACAAAAGTTTATCAATGAAATGTAATACTTCAGAACAAGATTTCAAAAGCTCAGTTTGTGAGATGGAAATGGATGTTCTATTCCATGAAGAGGAGATAAGAGGAAATTTCTGTGTTACAATAGCTACAAAACTGGTAAGATTCTAGGGAAGACTTGATGATACAGGACAGAAAAAGAAGCTGCCTACTTCATTTGGATCTCAGCTGTTTCTCTTTTATATAAACATTGATCCATCTGACCCAACCACACATTAGCTTCATATTCAAATTAATATAGAGAACATGGAAAATTCTACCTTGGATTATTCCCTGCCTACCCTATAAATTGATCTGAAAGAAAAATAAAATGAGAAGAAGTAGGTAGAATTTTCATAACATGATGATGAAGCTATGTATTACAAATTGCTGCCTCTTTATTTTATTTTTGCCTTATCTTACAGGAAGAAGATTCTTCTGTTCTCTCTACTGAAGATTTGGTCATGTCTGTGTTTGAGCTTTTCACTGCTGGGACAGATAGCACAAGCAGTGTGATCTCATATGGTCTTAACCTTCTAGCCAAGTTCCCAAATATCCAAGGTATATGAAATGATAATCTTTGTTTATATTTTCTTTCTCAGATATGGATTCCGAGATACAAAGAAAAATTATAGGTTGGCATTTTTATGATGTTTTCAGATATTTCTAGTGACAATCCAATATGTTAATGACATCTTTCCAATTCGTCTTTTAAAGAGATTTCAAATCATAAGAAGCTAATAAAAATGTTACAGTAGTCTAAGCATTGTTTATAGTGATTTGCATGTCCCCTAGATTTCATCATTTTCCTACTAGAACCTCTTGGATCAGCTTAAGTCTATTTTAGCAATTAAGCTGTCAACAGGACATAGGATCATTGTGAGAACATATCCTTAGGAGCACAAACAATATGTAATCCCTAGAGGCCAAAGCGGCACTTTGCAAGTACAGGGAGGCTGAGGGTGACTGCAGCCAGATGGGGGAAAAGTATGTGGGTTGCTGGCAAGATATGGCACAGCTGTGCAGCTGCTGTGTGGGAGGAGGTAGCTGGTGACGTACAAGCATGATGGAGTCAGGAGTAGCTTGTGCCAGCAGGGGAGAGTGAGATTTACTGGAGTAAATCGGGAAAATGATGAAAACCAAATGTCTTTTTATTGAGTCAATACATGGTACATAAAGGAAACTTAAGGTGACACAATTGAGGATAAAGGTCTATTCAGCTAGCATCATATTGGCATGTAACATTCAATAATCACCTTCATAATTATGAAATTGCATAGTCCATTAGCAATAGGAGTAGCATTTACAACTATCTGGGCAGTTTACAATGTAAGTGTTATTTACATATTGCCCTTAACAATCTGGGTTCCTCAGGCAACCTTGAGCCCTGTCAGGATCGAACTCCAGGCTGTAAGCAGAGTTTGCCTGCATTGCTGCCTTTTAACCACTGTGCAACCATGGTTCCATTCCTAGCTTAATGCATATAATTGGAAAGGCTCTTGTCTTTCTTTAACCTATGGAGTATGGAAATTTCTTTCTAATAGTCAAAGAACATTGGGAAGCCCTAACTATTTAGTTCTACTCATGGAATGTTATCTTAGGAAAGTGCATTCTATCCTGGAATGTAAACTGAAAGAGATATAACCGGTGGTTTCATCCAACTGTAAAAATCCACAAGACCACTACATGGCAGCCAAAAGAGGGGAAAACTCTATTTCTCTGCTATCTACTAATGATTGATAAGTCAATAATCCTTTTGGAGAAAAGTGGAAGTCCTGAAATCAACTATCCAAGGGTCTCCAAACTTGGCAACTTTAAGACTTGTGGACTTCAACTCTCAAAATACTTGGGCCAGTTGAAGTCCACACATTTTAAAATTGCTAAGTTTGGAGACCTCTGAACTAGCCTATCCACTTAATAGAAAATGTAACAAAAGGTGATGGTGTTGCGTTTCTACAGCTTGAGCAGAAGAAATTTCCCTTCCTAGTGGCCATCACTGCTCTTGGAGAAGCTCCGATTCCTCAGTTTCTCTCCTCATGCAACTTCATCTGAAAAGAGTGGTGCATCATAATGTGATGGTACAGATACAGCTTCAAAATACAGGCCCATTTTACTTCTCCTACCCTTTAATGTATATGCTGTAATTTGATGGAATCATTAAAATAGTTCCTCAAACTCCAGTAGTGAGTTCCTGAGTGTTGAGTTACTCTACTCAGTAACTTACCCCTTGGTAGCATTGTGGCTACCAAGTCAACATGATGGTAGACGGCAGCAAAATGAATAACAAATAATATCCCTTTGCTCCTGCCCTTTAGTCAATCAACAGTTCAGTAATAATTTTGAAGAATCTCTCTGGGTGTAGCAGAGAACAGTCACTCTCGTGCATCAAAGTCCTTTTCTTGGACTTCCGGTTGGCTCCGCGAGCTTCGCTGACGCTCCTTTGTGGGCACCCGATCCTCGGCACTGTAAAAGCCCCAGGACAGCCGAAAAACAGCTGTCTGGGGCTTGGAAACTCTCTCCTCGGAGAGAGAAGAGCGGACAGGTGGAGGTAGAGCCCCCCAAGCGCCCTAGGAGAAATCTTGGAGCGCGAAGGGTGAGAGCTCCCTAGAAGCCTGTCAATCCGCTCCGGACCTTGGGACGACTCCGCTAAAGCGGAGCTAGAAGCCGCGACCATTCCAGCAACACAATTTTAAATTTGGGCTTGGAGTGCTGGCAGAGCAAAGCAGGAGAAAAAAGAAAAAAAATGCAAGTAATACTTTAACTCCGTTTAAAAATGCAGAAAATGGTGCCTGAGGGCGTAAGTAAAAGCTATTAGTGAAAGTGCTTGTTAACACTTGTTAACGCTTGTAACATTGATACAGCTACTGTATTACACCCTAAGAAAAAGATTTAAAGTGGAAGCGGCAGGGAAAAGAACTTGGTATTGATTTCAATTAATTTATATCTTCATACTGTGTGGAAAATAGTTGGATTTGTCGACCTGATAGCTGGATAAATATAAAGTGAAGACTGAAACATGGCTGACATCTGGGCTGGAGAGTCACTATTTGGTGAATCAGCAAATTCTCAAGTTGTGACCGTAAAGATTTTTCAAGAACTATTAGATTCTTTTAATTCTGCTCTTTTGGAAACAATTGAAAGAATTTTTCAAAAATGTAGGTTGGAGAATTGTAATGATTTGCTGGCTGAGAAACAGGAGGAAATTAAACAGAGGATTTTGATTCCGGAGGACAAAGACGCTGTCAGGCTGGAAATGGAGGTTGAAACAGACGCTTCCACTCAATTAAAAGAAAACCAACAAGTAGACTCTTTATTGCAAGTTGACAAACTTTATGGCAACAACTCTTGGCTTTACAGACAAAAGAATGAAATGATTGATTATACAAGTAGGAGGAGTCGAAATGGGGGTCTTAAACCAGATAAAATGATTTTAAGAAGACAGCGAGCTTTCAAGATACATCAACCTCAGATCAAAATTCAAAAATTTTCGAAGAGAAGATTAGGGGGAGGAGCAATGCTGAAAGAATTATTGAAAAAGAAGGATTGGAAAAAATATAGAAAGAAGGGAAGAATAGAAGATTAATTCTTTTTGGGGGGAGGATTTTAGTAATAAATTCAAAATTTTAATTAACTGGTATTTTTAAAGGTTATTCTAATTATTCTAAGACAATAATATAAAGGAAGTGTTTTCTTACAATTAGTTCTGGATATAAAAACGATTGCTTTTTAAAAGTTATGGAAGTATTAAAATGGTTAATTGAAAATTTGAAGGATATCTTCCTGCAGGTTTTGAAATTTAATTGTGAAATAAATTAAGAATGTTTTATTGATGTATTAAGAGATTTTTAGAATGTTTAATATAAGATTATAGTATCTTAAAAGGTATATGAGAGAAAATGTCTAAGGTTTGAAAATGTTCAATTTTATGAAGGATTAAAGAGGATAAATGTTAAATTTAGAATTTTATTAGGGAGTAATGCTGAAAAGGAATGGTGTTTGAGGCTGGGGAAATGAAACTTATCTATGATTTTTAATGTTGGTAATATTGTAAAATTATTGGATCATACATCAAGAAAAGGTCTTTATATTTAGGAAGATATAAAAGGGAGGTTGATGAATTTGTAAAAGAGGAGTTAAAGAGCGTGAGGGTATTTTGAATTCTGTAGTTAGTTAGTATATTTTAGCTTATGCTTGTTAAATGTAACACCCTGTTTTTGCCCTGAGAAGTCGGGGGTGGGGGTGGGTGGGGAGGGAGGGATAAAGGTTGGGTTGGGATAAAAGTGTTGAATAGATAAATGTTTTAATAGAAAAGCAAATGTGGGGGAAATGTAATAATAAATGAAATGATATTAAGTTGCGACAGTTAGAAGATTATAAGACTAAATGTACAATTAGGATGATAATGCAGATAGATAGAATAAATCTGAAAAGAAACTGAAAGAATGTATCTACGATTAGAATACAAGAGTTGCTCAGATACTAAAGGAGGAGAATATTCCACAGCAAAGAAGACAGAAAGGAGAGAGGAGGAGAGGGTAGGAAGAGGAGAGGGAGGGAGAGGAATGGAAGAAAGGAGAGGAGGAAGGGAAGGGGACAGGAGTAGGAGAGAAGGTGAGAAGGGGGAAAAGAAGAGAGAAGTGGGGGAAAGGAAAAGGAAGTAGGATGAGGTAGGAGAGGAGGAAGGAGAAAGTAGGAGAGAAAAGGAGGGAGGGAAGGGAAAGAAAGGAGGAGAAGAAGAAGGTTTGTTGTGAAATGAGGGAAGAAAGAGAAGAAGAGCAATTCCGAATGTAAATTAAAATGCCTTATTTTAATGCTTTCTTTAAGGGAAATTTGTATATGTAGGATTTATTATGTATAAGAAAATGTACATTTTTTATTATGTGGGGAGGGGGAAGGATGGGGGGGAGAAAATTGTTTGTATTTATTATAAAACTTTTCAATATATATAAAAAAACAAAGTCCTTTTCTTGAACTCTGGGTCCAAGAATGTTTATGCAGCAGCTGCATCTTGATTAAAAATCTGGATGACCGCTATCTTGCAGTTACAGAGTTGGAGAATTTGCTGTCATCTAGTGATCAATAGGCTAATTGTCCTCTAGGGAGGCAGAGAAGATAGCAGGGTGGGGAAATGATTGGATGGTATGACTGAATCTTCAAAGCATCCACCACCTTGGACCACATTGTGCATGGAATTGGTGGTGGATTTACTCAAGCTAAATGGGCAGTGGTACAGAATGGCATGTTTAGCTATCCTTTAAGGGCACATGGTGGGGCAATGTATTTTATGTTGATCTGCTTTTTTCCTCAATTCCAGGATGGGAGCAAAGCATGGCAAACATCTTGGAGCTCAAACAGCTGTGAAATTGGGAAATAAGAAACTAATGTGCATTTTTGATTATCCATATCTAAAGATCAGCGCATTTTAAGTCTGGGATCATTTTTAAATTAATATTTCTGCTTTAAAAATATGATTTATTGCAGCAAAAGCCCAGGAAGAAATAGATGATATTGTGGGGACAAACCGTAATCCTTCCATAGAGGATAGAATGAATCTGCCCTATATCAATGCGTTGGTTCATGAGGTCCTACGTTTTCCGCAAGCAAGCATTGAGAACTTCCCACGTATGACAACCCAGGATGTGAATTTCAAAGGACACTTCATCCCTCAGGTATGAAAAATCAGATCAGTGTCTATGATCCACCTTCCATGTAGATATCTATCTGTAATTGCAGTACGATAAACCTTCTCCAATAATTGTTGCTTATATTTTGTGAACATCATTTGAATTTTAGGCTATTGGATTTTATAGAATATTTTATTAATTTGCAAATGTCATCAACAATCTTACATATCTCCCATCCTGTTGAGTTTCATTGATATCTATTACGGTTCTTAGCTAAGTTAATTCTTTTTTATTTGCATCACTGACCTGAGGATGTTTAGTAAGAAAATGAGCACTTTGTTCAACTTTTATTCCTAATTGTTGAAAACTCTGTTTATAGAATCCTATAGAAAAAAACAAAGTGTACAGTCCATATGGGCCTTTCTGAGTGGTGGGATTCAAGTAATTTAACAACCAGTTCTTTGCCCTAATGATTTCTTCCAACAACTAGTTTGCCAAACTGCTCAGAAAGTTAACAATCAATTCTCCCGAAGTGGTGTGAACTGGCCGAATCCCACCACTGGCCTTTCTGCTTAACAGAGGCAGGAAAAAGGAAACTCTACTCAGAATAAAAGGACAGAGAATAATCATAGATGCGAACATATAAACACTGCCATCTATTGGTTGGCTGTGCTTGTTACATAAAATACATGAATATGTATTCCAGCAATAAATTTGGAAATCTTTCCCCTGAATGCAAAAAGTAAAAATGATGTATTAATGAATTTAGCCTGCCTCCTTTGGATTCTAGAATTCTGCCTTCCTGATAGTGGAAAAGTAGGAGTATCAAATATGTTTTTTTATTTACATTTGTTTTTCATCAGTCATAAAACAGAGCCAGTTTGGTTTAGTGGTTAAGGCATCCGGCTAGAAACTAGAAGACAGTGAGTTTTAGTCCCAATTTGGACATGGAGCTAGCTGGATGACGTTGGGCTGGACACTTTCTCAGCCCTAGTAAAGAGGCAATGGCAAGTCACTTCTGAAAAACCTTGCCAAGAAAGCTGCAGGGATTTGTTGATTCTTTTTGATTTCTAATTAAATGTGTTTGGGTATCCATACATTTTTAAAAAAATGTTTCAATCTTCACAATGATTTGTAACTGTTGTGTGCTATCATTTTTACTGTGATTATATAAAATGCCATATTATTAGATAAATATAGTTATAATCTAGCCATATAAGAAAATAGCAATAGCTCACTTCAGCAGAAGCAAAATGGATCTCTCAATTGTCTGTGACATGATGAAATTTTTAAAAAGTTACAATGCACAGACAAGTTGAACTAGAATTTCAGCTGGGAAACTGTGATTTCTTACATCAAGACAGAGGCAGAATGGAACAGAATTCCTACAAGTTTGGCATTCTGAAAAATGAGTCATCAGCAGACATATAGTAATAAACCTAATTTATAAATCATCACACACCCTCCAACCAACACTCAAATAAGCAGGAACAGTCAAGGAAAAAAAAAACATCTCCCCAAATCAACACAAGGCTGTAAACAACAAGCCAACTTCATTTCCCATTTTAGAGCACAGATGATATTATTAATCTGGTAATGAAATGCCTGCAAGAAAAACAAACAAACTGAACGGAAGGTCTGTCAGAGAATTGTGAAGGACACATATGACATTATCAGTGAGCAACTGGACAGGTTGTCCTTGACCTATGATCACAATTGAACCCAATAATTTATGTTGCTAAGGGAGACATTTTTAAGTGAATTTTGCCCTATTTTATGGTCTTTCTTGCCACAGATGTTAAATGAATCACTGCTTATTGTGGTATTATTAAATCATAATTCACTTAATCATTAAATTAAGTGAATTGCTGTTTGTTGTACTATTAAATAATTGTTTAGTTAATGGCATGCTTGTTAAGTGAATCTGGTTTTCCCATTGACTTTGCTTGTCATAAAGTCGCAAAAGGTGATGACATGTCCCCGGAACACTGAAACAGTCATAAATATGAATCAATTGCCTCTGAATGTTGATCACGTGACCATGGGGATGCTGCAACAGTTATGTGAAAAACATTTATAACTCTCTTTTTTCAGTGCTAATGTAACTTTGAACACTCACTAAACAAACTGTTGTAAGTCAAGGACTACTTGTAATGAATTACGTAGGCATCCATTGTCTCTGTCCAAGTCTTCTGTGTTGGTTTGGGAATTATCCTCATTCTGGATAAAGAACACCATATAGACATGTGTTAAAGCCTCTAAAGAAAAATGATGCTAATGTACCAAGGCAATACAATATTAACACAACTAGGCGGAATTTCTAAAATAATTCAAAATAAGGCTTTTCTTCGGTTGGAGAAAAGGAGTAAGCTGTTGAATAAATAACTTTAAAATGCTCTACATTTCAAATAACATAATTTTTGTAAGGACTTTAATCACGTGACTTGGTCAAACACCAATCATGGAGAAATGTGTAAATTGCATCAATGTTACTTTTTATACCTTCCAAGGAGTCTCATTTTTAAAAGAATTAAGAATAGTCTGTTTTGTTATAGGGAAAAACTTACCTTTGCTCTCCATATCTTCTTGTCTTCATAAAGGGCACAACTATTCTTACATTAGGAATTTCAGTACATTTTGATCCTCTCTGCTGGGAAGATCCTACGAAGTTTGACCCAGGTCATTTCTTGAATGAGAAGGGTAAATTCCAAAAGAAGGATGCCTATTTGCCTTTCTCTGCAGGTAATAGAGGGGTTAGGGCTGATTTAATGTTCTGGGGTCTTCAGGGTTTGTCCAAATTTACCTATAACAGTTTCTGAGCTGTTACTGCACTGAGTTGTTCTTTCTGCCTGCCCTCACCGCTAGCTGTACCTGTTCCCAGATTTAACACAAGCATCCCCAGAACACTTAGGTAAATGGCAAAATCACTGAGAGAATCTGATTGAAACATGAAGGAGAGTGTTCAGTCTTTTAGAACCAGAAGAGATGTGGTGATTGCTTTTTTTAAGATAATAAAATTATTGAAGTTTAGAATTACAAAGTTTTTTTTAAAGCTAACAGACTAGTTAGAGTAAAAAGTAAAAGAATAAAGAATAAAATGAGAAAATATTAAAATTCAAATATTTCAAAATATGTTGCAATATTTTTAAAATATGAAAAAGTTAAAATAGATATCAGTAGATCCAAAGAGAGTCATTCAAAATAACCACCTATCACACTTTTCCCTGGTCTAATAAACTCTACTCTTTTTTTTAAGTATACAGAACAATCTTTCTCTGTAATCCATTCAGACGGTCCTCTAATCATTCTTGTTGCTATATAAATCCTATACAAATTGCTTCAATGCAGTCTCTTTCATAAATCAAGCAAAAAAATTTACCAATTGTTCTCTGGGATTTTCATTTTTATTTCCTTCTTAATTTAATGGTGTTTGCAGTCTTGTCTCTTTGAAGGTGTCTAACTTCTATGAAAGAGTAAATAGACAATAGACAAAATGGTTAGCAAGGGAAGTACAAACTTAACATCTTGTGAAAGACTCCATCTGCAGCTGGAGGCAATACATTGAATTTCCTTGTCTCCCAAATTCCCCCCCCCACATAATTTTTTTTAATGTGAGGAGCAACTGAAAGGAGAAACAACTTAGGCAATCTTGAGAGGGCTGTAGGAAGCAACCTGCTAAGTGGCTCCTTATTTTGTGGAGCTGTCTTCAGTTGGATATCTTCCCTTGAATTAAAAAAAAAATTAAAAAACAGAATAGGTTTTGCAACATTCAACAAAAGTTTATGTCTTTCTCACTATGTCTTTTTCTTTCTGAGATAATACCTCATATTTCTGTAGCATAAATGATTTGGATATTAATTTGATTAATTGATTGATTGCTATAATTGCCCTTATTAATAAGTCACTGATTAATTGACAATTAACTTAAAAAAAATTTCCAGTGTTGGAGCATTCACAACTTCTGGAGGCAAGTTGTTCCACTTATTAATTTTTCTAACTGTCAGGAAATTTCTCCTTAGTTCTAAGTTGCTTCCCTCTTTGATTAATTATCTTCTTCATTTTGTGTGTGTATGTGTGTGTGCGCAGGGAAGAGAGCATGTCCAGGAGAGGCGTTGGCAGATATGGAAATCTTCCTGTTCTTTGTCGTTCTGCTCCAGCATTTCACTTTTGAATTGACAATGGACCCTGAAAAAATAGACTTAGAGGCTTTGTTTAAGGAAAGTAGGAAGAATGGGAAGTATCGCTACTTACGGGCCATCAAACGTAAAATTTAAATGAGCAACAGAAATAAATATTTTTTCAACTTTCACCAGCCCAAATCTATATTTCTAAAGCTAGATGTAAGGTTCTAAAAGTATCTAAAAGTATTTGCATTAAGGGACCTGAAATACTTGTGGGAAGAATTTATAAATTTATATAACAGTGTTAGAAATACTGTATAGGGAATCATATGTTCACGTACCCAGGTCTTCAACAAATAAAACATTTGATTAATGAAACAAAGTAGCAAATGTTGCATGGAAAAGCTGGCAAGCGATAATAACAATATTGTTTAAACTTACAGCAAAGGTTCAAATTAATTAATTAATTTTATTTCAAATTGTAAACACATACAAAATTCAATTAACATAATGTAAATATAATTTTAACACTCACAGTTCAACCAAGAGACTCAATCTACATTGCTGGATGTCACACAATAGAACCAGCAGTATATACACACACACCCTCAAGCCCATGGACTAGTCCCTTATAAAACAACCACTCTGTACTCCATTTTCTCTGCAGTTATCCCCATAGACAAACCTCTTTGCTTTGGGGAATAAATAAACCTCCTTTCCTCACAGCTGTCTTGATTTCATTTTGATTTGTTCTTGTGCAACTCCAGCTGGAGTTGGAACCCCAAATTATTCTTCTGACAAACTTCAAATAACTTTTTGAAATTAATTACAAGAATATTTCCTGTGTGTTGTTTAAATATATATGAAGACTTTGAAACAAACTGTAAGAAATCTTCCTGTGAGAAAATGTTGTTGATTAGGGAAAAAAATACCCTACATGATAAGAGATAAGAAGGTTGGCTAGAGGGAATGAGAGAGACTTGAAGATTATATTTATAAGTGACCGATTAATACAGAATGAAGTGGTCTTATTTGTGGAAGAATTCAAGAATATTTGGGGGAAATTCCCTCAGAAATTACTCTTAAGAATAGTTGCTATAAAAATGGAATTCAAAATAAATTGTGGAATAGGAACAGATTTTAGTAATAAAAGACTGTGGCTAATTTGAAAGAGGATCTGCAAATGGATTTAAAAATGTCAGGCTACAAGAATGATATGGAAAATGATGTTACACTGAAATTGAATGAAATTGCCTGATGTAATAGTTAAAGGAGACATAAAAAATAATAAATCAGAAGAGTGACTTGAGCAGTTTTTTAAATCTTTGATTAACAAAAAAAAAATGTCATAAATGTGTGAAATAGTTTCTGAGAGAGAGAAAATTATAAGAAATCAACTATTTGAAGGGATTAAAGATCAGCCTTCTTAAAAGTAAATGGAAGGAAAGAAACAGGACTTATTTGGCAAGATTAAAATATATGTTTTTTTCCTGGTAGCTCTTAATGGACTATTTTTTACTTGGGTCAAATGATGAGGCTCTAAAGATTTGTTTATAGAAAACAAACAAGATATAAGAAGGAACTTTTTGGTTTATTTTTATAGAAACTGATGTTACTGTGTTAAATATATATGTTATTATTTCTCGTAAATCTTAATGACTTTTCCTGATTAGTGCTATTTTATCATTTGTTTATTGATAAGAGCTGAGAATAGAAAGAAGAGATCTTTCATTGTAACACTGAAGAAAGTGATAAATTACTGAAGTTGTTTGCATTTGCTTTTCTTTGCAATTCTTATTTTTTCTTTTTTATATTCTTAGTTTGCATTAGTTTTTCATCTTTGTATTTGTATACTTCAATAAGAATTATTTTAAAAAATAAACATATCGGAAATCCATGAAATCAGAAAAGTAGAAATATTTGTTTTAGTTGCCATGTTAAAATAGAGATAGTCCTTGACATACAACCAATCGTTTAACAACAGTTCAAAGTTATGACAGCCTTGGAAAGAATGCTTTATGGCCTGTAAAGTACCTCCAACTGTCATAAAACATCATGTACACACACACAAACATATGTACACACGTACACACACAGACACTCCCTGGAAAGTGAATCCAATTTGACTTTGACAGGGAGGATTTTCAGCGCCTGAGTGGAGAAATACTTCTACGCAGCCTCTGCTGGTCCTCCCAAGGCCTCCCTCACCATGCTCCTTACATTACTGCTCTCTGTCTGCTCTAACACATGTGATTCTGAAATAGGTTTGCAAAGGAACAAAGAAATAGCTGGGAGGTGCTTTTTCCAGAAGTCCATCTGCTACTGCTGCATGGTGCCAATCCCCATCCCCTTCCCCCCCCCCCCACAACAGCATGTGTGCCTTCCGCCTGGATGGTAGGCAATGAACAGTGGAACAGGAGGGGACAAAGAAGAAAAGAGTAACGGAGCATCTCCTTCCCCCTTCCTTTTCCTCTCTTGTCCTTTTTTTCTTTGATCTCCAGCTGTTTCCTCTCCTTCCTCCCCTTTCCCCTCCCTTCCTCCTCCATCACTCTTCCTCTCTTTTACATACCCATTTGTGTGAACACTCTCCTCATTCCTGAGCAGACTCCTAGAGAAGCAGGCAGCATCAAAGAGGAGATTGGCATTACCTTGGTTTCTTGAAGGTTAAAACGTCAGGCCAAATCCTAGAGAAGAAGTAGAACTATCAAGCAGATTTCTAGAGAGGAAAGGAAAAGCAAGTGAAGGGCCAGCTTGAGCATGAGGTGCTTGGATTCATCATCATCATCATCATCATCATCATCATCATCATCATCATCATCCCTGCCCTGGTGTTGTTGGTGCTGTTTCCTTTGCTTCAGCAGGAGAGAGGAAAAGAATCAGAAGAAGAAAATGTCACCTGAAAGAATAATGTTCCCCTTATGTCACACCACCCATTTCCAAAATAAAAGGGCTACACTAGGCTTGACTTACCAAGCTGAGAATTGCACTCCAAAAGTCAGTGGAGTTATATTTCCCTTGCTTAAAAAAATTGTTACTTCATTCATTTTTATTTTTAAAAACTACAGGCAGTCCTCGACTTAGAAGCATTAATTCAGCAACCTTTGTAAATTATGATAGCAGTGAAGGAAGAGACTTATGACCTGTTTCCAAAAGAAAACAACATTTAAGTGAAGATTTTGTTTAAGTAGCCTGGAAAGTAATAGCAGCTCATCTGGTCATATTCTGTCTCTAGGCACACAAGGCGGACATCAGTCTTGCAAGTCTGATAGTAGAAATCTCTTGCTATCTCTTCTACAGTCTGAGAAGTTAGGGAAGGTCCTCTCTGAGCCTCTTTCCCTGCCCATTATGCAGCTGCAGGCTATGGCCTCTCTTATCTCACTATTCCTTAGGAACAGTCCCCCCCAAACCTCCCTAGGTCTTTACCACATACCTGTTACATCATGTGGCGACATTGATGGGCAAGATGAGGAGTTGATTCTGGAGCAGTGCTGAAACCCTTTATAGAAATGCCCTGAAACAGGAAAATATGGTTGGATCCTACACTGATCAAAACCACACATCACAATTGGCTTTTATAACACCCCTCTACTTCCATGTTTTGTATAGTAGTATCACTGCTAGACCATGACAACTATGGCAATGAGGAAACCTGGGCATTCTATGGCCCAAAGCTGCATCCAACCCTTTGGCTTTACCAGCCAAGGGGCAGCGGGGAAGAGCGGTGAGGGCCGCGGCAGCAATCCTTTTGATTCCTTCACAACAGTCCCAGTTTCAAATATGGCCCCTTGGGAAAAATTAATTGTCCTTCCTTGGCACTGACTATACCTGAGAGTAATAGTCCATTTAGATTATGGATTTAAACAATTTCTATCTCTCCTTGATAATAGATCTGGACTGAGATTTTGTGGCTTTTGAACAAGACTCTATCATAGAAGTCTGTTTAAGATAACTCTTTTAACACAACTTTTTGCTATAATAGATTGTTTGGATGTTGAATTCTCTACCATAAAATTTAAAAAACAACAATTGTTGGCTAAAAGATTTGAAAGATGATTTTATTTCTCCCTGTACTCTATTCATTGGGCCCTGCCTTCTGTTTTAACCTCACCTTCATCCATCACTGTGCCCATTCCTTCTCTCCATCCTCCATTTAGATTCAAACTGTTCCCATTCAGACAAAATGGATATTCAAGCCTTCTCTGCACCCATGATTTATAACAGATATGAGAGGAAGATTTTTAGAATTATATCTAAAATTGTATCTGTTTAAGCTCTGTGACAAGCAATCTTCTTACTGCCTTTGCAGTGATTGCAAATAAAGGGAACTCAATATTTTTATTTATTATATTAAAGATAGAACTTGGCATACAAATTCACACTTTTTTTAAAAAGTGAATATAGACACACTTTAAAATAAATCAGAAAATAAAACGTCGAGTTGGCCACACCCACCCAGTCACATGATACCCCCCCAGCCACACCTACCCAGCCGGTCATTAGGAGAATTGGTTGTTAAATCACATCACTGGGCTCATCCAAATAATGAATGTGAATATCAGAGATATAGATGAGTTTAGTCTATTCCTAAAAACTGAATACCAATTTACTGTATGCAACTGTTCACATATCTGTCTGACTCATAACGTGCATGAGAAAAAATTCTCCATAAAACAGGTAGCGGGACCATCTGTGGTTTGTAAAAGAAGGCCCAATTCTTCTTCATAATGGAATATGCAAATAATATTAACAGAATGGGAATATTTGGATTGACTGGACTAAACCAGACGCTTAACAGAGAGTAGATTAACCAATGATAAAGCCAGGAATACACAGGTTGTTAAAGGATGGAAGTATTAAGAAAACATCAAATTCATGAAGTAGGAGAGTCTGTTTCAAAGTAAAATAGTCACATTGTGTTTTGCCATTCTGCTAACACTAAACTCTAACCAACAATGAGGTGGTTTCCTAATTCCTCCTGGGCAGTATTCCACTAATAGACTTGATATCAATTGAAAAAGCATGTCTTCCAATTATGTTGTGGGGCAGAGTGTATTTTACAAACCAGGGGTGGGTTCTACGTACTTTTACTACTGGTTCGCAACAGGATCACACGTGCAACATAATTCCTTTCACATTGTTTGAAGCAATCCTACAAAGTTTTCCTTATGTTTACTTTCCATTTATTCATCTGGGAAATTTATAACAACTACAACAACAATAATAATAAATGGATGCTGGCAGTAATCTGTATCAACCATCAGCACCAGTCAATGATATTTGTCATACATTTTAAAATGTTCAGTTGACTGAGTTTCATTTTTAATGAATAAAAGAGGTAATAATAATAATAATAATAATAATAATAATAATAATAACAACAACAACAACAACAACAACAACAACAACAACAACAACCTGGAAAGAAATAACTTGCTTCCTGTAGAACAGAAAGGATGCTGCAAAAACTCAAGAGGAACAAAAGATCAATTGCTGATCGACAAGATAATCTTAAAGAACTCAAAGAAAAGACGAACCAACCTGTTCATGGCTTGGATAGACTATAAGAAAGCATTTGATTCAGTTCCCCATAGCTGGATCAAGAAATGCCTGGAAATATTAGGCATCAGCAGCAACATACAAAAATTCATGGAATCTTCAATGAACCTCTGGAAAACAAAACTTACGGCTAATGAAGAAGAACTGGGTGAAGTTGAAATTAAACGAGGCATTTTCCAGGGCGATTCCCTTTCACCCCTACTTTTTATACTCTCAATGCTACCACTGACAATCATTTTGAAGAAGATGAACTGTGGATACGAACTTGCAAAGAAAGGACTGAAAATCTCGCACTTGATGTACATGGATGATTTGAAGCTGTTTGGTAAAACAAAAGCTGAACTGAATTTATTAATTGAAAACACAAAAGAATTCAGCCAAGACATTGGTATGCAGTTTGGAATTGACAAATGTGCAACAATAGCAACCAAAGCAGGCAAGATCATAGAAGAGGATGGAATAGAACTAGAGAATGAAGAAATGATAAAGGCAGTAAAATCAGAAGAAGGCTACAAGTACTTGGGAATTTTAGAAGCCTCTGACTTAATGCATAATAAAGTCAAGGAATTAACTTCAGCCAAGTACATTCGACGAATTCGTAAGATATTAATGTCCAAATTGAGTGGAGGAAACATCATAAAAGCCATAAATACCTGGGCTATACCTGTGATTAGATACTCTGCAGGAATAATTGACTGGACCCAGATGGAGTTAGACAATTTGGACAGAAAAACAAGGAAGCTTATGACAATGAATCATGCCTTGCACCCTAAAAGTGATGTTGACCGATTATATTTACCAAGAGCAGAGGGTGGTCGAGGACTCCTACAAGTAAAGCAGACTGTGGAAGAAGAAAAATGCAGCTTGAATGATTACATCCAGAAAAGTGAAGAACCAATGATTAAGGAAGTAAATAAAGGAGGCCTTTTAAAGACAACTAAAACAAAAGCAGAATATAAGAAAGAAGTAACTGAGCAGCGAGCTGAAAATTGGAAACACAAAGCTCTGCATGGCCAATACTTGAAAAGTATTGAAGGCAAAGCTGACCAGAAACTAACTTGGAACTGGTTAAGATCAGGAGTACTGAAAAAAGAAACAGAAAGCTTTATTTTGGCAGCTCAAGAACAAGCCCTAGCCACAAACTGTATGAAGGCAAAAATTCAACATGTTATCACCAACAGCAAATGCCGCCTCTGCAATGAAAAAGAAGAGACAGTTGACCACCTGATCAGTGGGTGCAGCAAAATTTCACAAACTGACTACCTACAATGCCATGACCGTGTTGCTAAAATCATTCACTGGAAATTGTGCCAGAAGTTTGGATTTGAGTATAGCAAAAACCACTGGGAACATCAGGTTGAGAAAGTTTTAGAGAATGAGAAACTCAAGATCTTGTGGGACTTTAGGATTCAAACTGACAGGCACTTGGTCCACAACACACCTGACATAACAATAGTTGAAAAGAAAAAAGTATGGTTCATTGACATTGCAATACCTGGTGATGCACGAATTGAAGATAAGCAGCAAGAAAAAATCACAAAGTACTGGGACTTACAAATTGAAGTTGAGCGACTGTGGAAAAAGAAATCGTGTGTTGTCCCGATTGTAATTGGAGCCCTCGGAGCAATACCCAAAGGGCTACCCCGCTATTTAGAAATTCTAAATTTGCCGGACTTGAACATTTTGACTCTACAAAAAACCACCTTACTCGGAACAGCTTACATCCTCCGACGATACCTTAACAGTTCCTAGGTCCTTGGTTAGGACTCGAGCTGCTGAGCTATTAACCAGCCTCAAAGGCTGTGAATCTCACTAAAGATTAACCAATAAATAATAATAATAATAATAAATGCATGTTTTCTTCCTATAATGGTTTTAATTTCATTGTTTTTTCAGTTCTTCCTTTTTTTTGTGTCTGTGTCCATTTCCTCAGGGACCATTTTTCACACTACCAAATAATCACTTGACCTAGATTTAGAACTTTTCATTACCATTTTGTCTTTCATAGATTCCCTCAATATTACATAATAGATAATCATAATAATTTTGCTTTAGATTTAGATTTATTCTTTTCCTACACATAGATATGAATAGATTTAGATTTAGCGTTTAGTGTTTTCTAAGCAGAAATGTATTACACAGACAAAATTCTGATTATCTTATTCCCATCATCTCACCAACCAGGAGATACCTGCTGTGTACCTAAACATATTGATGTATTTCACTTGAAATGAAGTTTTGTAAAGATGTTGATATAGTCATGCTTTTTGAAGAGGGAGGAACACATTTTTTCACCATTTTGCTTCCACTGGTCACTTCTGAAATCTCCTCTGGTTCTTCCTTACATGCAAAAAATAATCTCACCTCTAAACTGGTCCTTTGGAAAGGAAGACGAAAGCCTTTTGAAAACTTTGGCAATTTAGACTTTGAATAAGCAGGATAAAAAGAATATTGACCCCTTTGAGTTTTGATGTTGAACAAGATCCCTGAAAATATTGTGGATAGCCAAGAAAAACAAAGAAATAACTCATACCACAAATGACCAGACTCAAAGATCACGATATCAGTGAAGGAGGATATTTAGATAAAATGTGATGTTTCAGGCACTTTCCTTTTTCAGCTCTTTGTCTCAATCATAGTTGAAACATATCCCAGAAGCCCCAGTTTGACAGCCGATGGGAAGAGGAAGTTCATGCCATGATCTCTGAAACCCAACCAGCAGCCCAAGCATGCACTAGAGCATAAACGCACTGTGGTTCTGACCTCCCTGAAGACAAGTTGACAGCAGAGCTAAAAGTGACATTCTCAACCGATGCCTGGTTCGAGGAAAACCAGACAGACCTAACCCTAAGAGAGGGATTGGGTTGGAAGGAGAATAAGATTTATGTGCCCAGCAGCATGTGACTCCTGATGCTAAAGCGGAGTCATGATTCTTGACTAGGGGGCCACTTTGGATTTTTAAAAACCTTCCATTTGACTAGAAGACAATTCTGGTGGCCACGGATGAAAGCTGATGTAGAGGACTATGTTAAAAGCTGCATCACCTGCACCACTATGAAGTCCAGACCAGGGAAGCCCCCTGGGCTTCTCCAGACCGTGGCCGAACCCACAAAACCCTGGGAGGAGATTGCAATGGACTTCATAGTCGAACTCCCTGATAGCGGAGGGAACAAGGTGATTTGGACTGTCATTGATTTATTATCTAAACAAGCACACTTCACTACCTGCAATGGACTACCCTCGGCCAAGAAGCTGGCAAAACTTTCAGTGACGCATATCTACAGACTACATGGAGTTCCAAGGAGAATAATATCAGATCGTGGGGTCCAGTTTACTGCTAAATTCTGGAAGGAGTTCCTGAGGTACATTGGGTCATCCCAGGGGCTTAGCTCAGCTTTCCACCCATCGACTAATGGATCCGCTGAAAAATTGAACACAATGGTGGAGCAATACATTAGATGTTATGTAAATTACCAACAAGAAAACTGGGTGAAGTTATTACTGTTTGCAGAAGTGGTTTATAATAATGCAGTACACAGCAGTAGAGGATTGACTCCTTTTCAAATAACTATGGGCATGGATTTTGTGCCGATGCCTGAGTTGCCTAGCAAGCCACCCACTTCCATGTCCCTAACAGAATGGATGACCTTGTTAAAAAAGGGTTGTGAGAATACAAAGAAAGCTTTAATTGAATCAGCAGAAAAATATAAGGCCCAGGCCGACAAACGCCAGTCTCTCCAACCACCTTTTCGAATATGAGATAAGGTGTATTTGTCAACCAAATACCTAGGTCCCTTCCCTATAGTGAAAGTGATTAACCCAGTGACTGTCCAACTTAGCCTTCCTCGCATATTAGGAAAAGTACACCCAGTCTTTCACAGTAGTTTATTGAGACCAGCAAGAGGATCTAATTTAAGGCCCTTACCAGCTGCTCCCCACTCTTTTGGTAGTACAAGGGGGGACTCATTATGAAGTTAAGAAGATCCTTGACTCTAGACTATACAGGGGTCAGTTACAATATTTGGTACGCTGGAAAGGGTATCCATTGTCTGAAGCTACTTGGGTGAAAAGTTGGGATGTGAATGCTGATACCCTAGTAAGACAATTTCATGATAAATTCCCTAAGAAACCAAAGGGTCCACCTGGAAGGGACAGAGGGGGTTAAGAGGTCATGTACAATGTGTTAACCCCTTCTTTTGTGTTTTGTCTGTTTTATTTTTTAGGGTGTTTTATTTTTCAGGCTGTTTTATTTTTTTTTCTGGGGTGGGGGGGAGACACCTGTCAGCTTTGGAAGCCATATTAGGCTGGAAGCTTCCATGCTGCCACTTTCTCATGTGTGGGAATGTAGAGGGGGGATTTAGTAGAGGGGTTGTCTTTAGAAATAATAGCATTCTTCCTATCGGCCAAGGTCAGGGTGATCCTGCATCTGGAGAAGGAGTGGTCAGAGTGATGTCTCGAGATGGGATGGCTGTTGATTGGAGCATGTGATTGACTGAGGAGTGAGGGGATGTTTTTGGAGGTTTTGATTTACTGAGGGAAAACCTGGACATCTCAGATTCGGGTTTTCCCAGATGTGCCAGTTTACCTATTCTAGTAAATAAAACTTTGAAAAATGCTTGCCTCAAAGTTTTTATTTGGAGTTGGGATTTTTCTCGAACACTGACAGAATGTCCATATTTTGAACTCAACTGACATGAAGTCTATATTTCCGTCCAAAACAAACAAACTGTAACTTATTTTTGGCAACAGTCCAAAGGTAAGAATGTTGATAAGTAACTTTCCTATACTAATAGAGGTAAAAGAATCATTTGAGCTGAATGTAAACAAGTAAGTGTGCAAAGGTTAGAGGAAGTGAAGAATTTAGATGTGATTGGGGATCCAGTTGGCTCCTTCTTTCAATCTTGTCTCATTTAAACAGCTTTTTGGATTTTTGAAGAGCAAAATAACTCAGAAAAGGATGGAGCTGGCATGGGCAGGAGCTCTGCTTCTTCTCTCTATAATTTTCACCCTTTTTTCATCTTTCCAAATGTACAAGAGAAAAGGGCAGCTGCCCCCTGGACCTACTCCACGGCCTATTCTGGGGAACCTCTTTCAGCGAGATGTTTTACCTCTAAACAAATCATATAAAAAGGTAAGATTGGGTAACTATAGTACTTCTTTGCTGTTTCAGGTGATTACTTTGAAATATATATGCACATTTTCCTAATTTAAGGAGTTTGATTTATTCTATGAGAGTCCAATTTTATTTGCAGTTTTTGTCATCTCAATAAGAATTTTAATTTAAAGTCACCTTGTAACAATCTAAATACAGAATGGAGATTACAAAGTTGATTAAAATATGTTGTAACAAGAAAAATGTCTTTTGAAGAACCAAAAATATTTTGCAGAACTAGATTACTTACAGAAATAAATTATACAATCAAAATTGTGATTATCTCTTTTCCGTCATCTCACTAGCTTGGAGATAAATGTAATGTAGCTAATCATATTGATGTATTCTGTAGATATTAAGAAATAGTAAAGCTTGATCTCTCTATGGTGAATTTAAGAACTATTTTAAGCATGCTTTAGAATAATTTCACCAAAAAATGCTTTATCATTTAATTCACTGGGTTTCCATCTAATTTTATCTTTAGCTTATAGCTAAGTATGGACCTATATTTACTGTCTGGATTGGATCAAAACCAATGGTTGCTCTTTGTGGATATGAGGTGGTAAAAGATGCTTTGATAAATCAAGCAGAAGAATTTGGTGGGCGAACTCATTTTCCCTTGCACAGTCGAATGTTCCAAAATAAAGGTTGGTTCTCTTTTATTTCTTATTTTTATTTCTGTTTTTAATTTTCTGTAAGTTATTTTAAATTATTTGAATGCTGTTAATATTGATAATTATGAAAGTTTTACTTGAAATGAAGTTTTGTCAAAATGTTGATTTGGTCATGCTTTTTGAAGAGGGAGGAACACATTTTTTTTCACCATTTCGCTTCCACTGGTCACTTCTGAAATCAATTATGGTTGTTCATTACATGAAAGAAGAACAATCTCTACCTTTCATTGATCCCTCTGAGCTTTGATATTGGACAAAATCCTTGAGAATATTGTGGACAGACAAGAAAACAAACAAATAGCTCATTGAGCAAATCAACTCAAAGTTCCCACTCAAAACAGAAATGACCAGAGTCAAATGATCATTCTTCAGACAGATTGTGCAAAAGCCTAGCTCCCTAAGGAAGGCTATAATGGCAGGAAAGATGAAGGGAAAGAAAGAAGAGGATGGCCATCTGCAGTATCAATTGACTCAGTTAAAATGATGACAATGTGCCCTTACAAATCCTGAAAAATTAGGTTAGGGATAGATCGTGTTGGGGGAAATCTAATATTGCTAAGAGTTGAGAATAACTTGTTTGCATTCAATCAAGCAAGCAAGTACATAAGCAATTGGAAGGAGCCTATTTTTGTCAATAAAGCCTCTACAGCAAAATAAATAAATAAATCCATAACTCAAAATGACTTCCATTTTCTTCTGCTTACTGAAAATTGTATCTCAGTATAGAGTTTCATATCTAGTATAGGGATTTCTTTCTGTCTAGAACACATTTACAGAAACTTGTGACATGATTTTCATAGCCTCATTCATTCTTCTCTTCATATGACAGCAGTCAAGAATGGAAAGATAGAAATTGTGAAGTTTGCTTCATTAGTATTTCAAACATCAAGCCTGGTTTGCATTAAATATGAGGAAGGAAAATTCTGTGATGCATAATTTATTGCAATGCAGTGGCCTGTTTCAACTATGATTGAGACAAAGAGCTAAAAAAGGAAAGTGCCTGAAACATCACATTGTATCTAAATATCCTCCTTCACTGATATCGTGATCTTTTTTGTGTATTTTATTTCAGGATTTGGTACTACTGATGAGAAGAAATGGAAGGAGCTGCGACGGTTCACACTGTCCACCTTGAGAGATTTTGGGATGGGGAAGAAAAGAATGTCTGAGAGGGTGCAGGAGGAAGCCCTTTGTCTGGTGGAGGAAATCGCTGCAAAAAAAGGTTCTCTAAAGAAACTGAACACTGTTCTCTCACACAAGAATCATAGTAGGAAAAGTATTTAAAATATGAGAATGGAAAGGGTTTGTTGTACTATATGAAGTTACAGAAGAACTAGATTCTGAGCTGAAACTCAAGTCCTCTGCACTTAAGTGCACAAAATAAAGAAAAACTTAGATAGGCAGTGAGTACCCCCTTCTCCTTTTCACAGTGGCGTTCAAGAGAGAAGGCAAAAATACACAGAGGAAATATAACAGCTTTCAAGCTATGTCTTTGTTTTCAATCCAGTGTCAGTCCTTGGCTTTGTAAAATTTGCCCAGAATTAGTGAAATCTTATTGTGGTTGTAGTAACTGAAGGAACATGCAGTAGATACTAGGAAATTAATTAATTTAGTAATTATACATAGAAAAAAAAACATTTTAGTCCTGGATTCTTTTTAGAATGATCATGTTAAACCAGGCTTGAACATAATGTTAAATCATGTATCAAGCAAATTCAGTAATCAACAAAATACATTATGGATAAATGAAATAGGTAAACAAAGTGAGGTAAGGAAAATATGGATAAGAATCGGCTGCATGAGTGATGGAAATCTGTGATGTGACATGGATTTAAATTAAGGCTATAGTAGGAGATGATCAGGCTGAGCCCAAGGCTGGGGTCAAACAAATCATCAGTCATGAATCCCTTCATGCCCACAAGAAATTTAAATCCAGCCCACCTTGAATTCCTTCTACTTTTATCTCCCGCTAATTTCCTTTAACTATTAGTAGTTCAGATTCTTGTAGAAAGTTTAAGCTTATAAAAAAAAATTTATACCCATTTGGACTGTCTGGATCTCCTGATTTTCCTGGTTCTTGACAGCTATAAATTGACTTTTTTTCAGGAGTTGTAATGCCTTGGAAAACTATCTTCTATGGGCAAGTTTTTTCTGGAAAGAGATTTTAAAAAAGAAAGATATGTATGGGATATTTTAAAAAATAGTTGGATAGATTAGAAGGAGAAAGTGCTGAGGGAATAGACTGCTCAGTTAAAAGAAAAAACTGTTTAAAAAATAAATTTCAATATAATTATATATCAGGCAAAATCAGCAGCTAGGAAATGAATTTATGGATGAATGAAATAGGTAATTTAAGGGCAGGAAGGAAAACATGGATAACGTTTGCTCTTATAGGCGTAGAAAGACAACAACAGGCAGTTTTCATGAGGTGGAGATTGGAAAGCGATTGTGGATCTGAATTAAATGGTCATAAATAGTATTCCTTTAGAGCAGGGTGCTCTAAAGGCCTGGGCCCCAGAACTGGCTCGCAGGGTGCTTAGATCTGGCCTGTGGAGCCACCCTGGAAATAGTGAATGACCAGCCTGAGGTGCCTCTGCCAGAAAAAAACAGAGCTTGCGAGGGCCGCATGTGCACCCCCCCCAGCTCCATTTTTGCTGGTAGAAGGTTGCAGGAGGCCATCACAGCTGAAAATGGTGCTCTGGCAGAGTTTTCACTGGCAGAGCACTCAGGCCACCACAGGTGCCCCCTAACACAAGTGACATCATGCTGGCCATGCCCATCCTGGCAATGCCCACCCCAGCCCACTATGGTCAAACACAACCCTGATGTGGCCCTCAATAAAATCGAGTTTGACACTTCTGCTTTAGAGATTTGTGGCTCCTTTGAATATAATCTTTGATGGACAAATCTCTGGAATCAGAAGAAAAAAGAAATGGAAAGATTATTTTTTAAAAAGAAAGAATATAGAGAGAAGAAAGAAAGAAATTAGAAGATGGGAGGGAGAGAGAATCAGGAGAGTTAAAACTGGAAGCAGAACCTTCTAAGACAGTGGTTCTCAACCTTCCTAATGTCGCGACCCCTTAATACAGTTCCTCATGTTGTGGTGACCCCCAACCAGGGGTGGATTCTAAATTTTTTTACTACCGGTTCTGTGGGCATGGCTTATTTTGTGGGCGTGGCTTGGAGGTCATGTGACTGGGTGGGCGTGGCTAGCTGGTCATGTGACCGGGTGGCCATGGCTATGTGTATAGGGACTACTCAGAGGGCTGAAAAAAGTCATTTCTGACAGGTCCTCGCACTTTTGACTGGTCCTCACACTTATGACCATCCTCACATTTATGCCTGTGCAGCATTCTTAAGAACCATGTCACTCATTTCACAACTGCTTCTCTTCAACATGGTGATAAGATAGGGCAAAAAACGTAAAATGTGAGGACAGTCGTAAATTCGAGGACTGGTCAAAAGTGTGAGGACCAGTCAAAAATAACTTTTTCAGCCCTCTGAGTAGTCCCTGTGCACAAAAGGACTACCCAGAGGGCTGAAAAAAGTGATTTCTGACAGGTCCTCGCACTTTTGACCAGTCTTCGCAGTTATGACTGGTCATCATTTATGCCCATTGTAGCATTCTTAACAACCGTGTCACTCATTTCACAACTGCTTCTCTTCACCATGGTGACAAGATAGGGCAAAAACGTAAATTGTGAGGACAGTCGTAAGTTCGAGGACTGGTCAAATGTGCGAGGACCAGTCAAAAATAACTTTTTCAGTCCTCTGAGTAGTCCATAGGCATAAAAGGATATAGCAATAGAGAGGGATGAAGGAAGGGAAGGGAAATTAGAGTAGGAGTGAGGGTAAGAGAGGGAGGAAGAGAGGAGGCGAAGGAGAAAGGAAGAGGAAGTAGGGAGAAGAAGAAGAGGGGGGGAAGAGAAAGTAAGAAGGAAAGAAAAGACAAAGGTGGTAGGTTTGAGGAGAAAGATTGCTGTACAATAAAAAAGATGAAAGGGAAGAAAGCCAACCCCAAACAAATATAAAGATATTAAGATAAAGAATGAATTGTTAAACTTTAAAGAATAAAAGAGAATAAATAGCAATAAATAGCAATAATTAGAAACACACATACAAACATACAACGTATTTTCTTTGAACAGAGTATTTGGCCGGTTCACAAATTTAAACAGTTGTAGGAGGTTAGCACCCACCCCTTTCCTAGAAGAATGAAATATTTTGGGAAATATTAAAAAGGCAGAATATTATATTTCCCTGGATGAGAAATAGAGAAACATATTTTACAGACAAAGCAGCTCCCACCTTCCTGCCCCCCACCCTTTGTTAATGGGCCAAAGTCAATCCTTAGTCAAAGGACATTTGCAACACAATAGCAACAGAAACTAACACAATGGCCCCATCTAGCAACCGAAACTCACCACATGTGACCTGGGAAGCATGTAACCTGGGAACACATGTGACCATCAGCCAGCAAGGCTAGCTAAGACTCCCACCCCCCGGGAGTCTGACAACCAATCAGGATACTCTTTCAGGGCCCCAAGAAATGCAAAGCCAGAGAGAGCATAAAAACCCAAGGATTTACTGTATCTGCCCCTTTTCTGTTCAGGAACTCAAGCCATGTGATCCTGTCCACCATTAAACCATCTTTCCAAGCAGTCTCCATGTTTCCAGTGTCTTTTTCCCCACTTGGAGCAGAACCCAGAAGGATATTTCTTCCAACACAGTGTTTAGTCATTTCAATTAAATTTACAATTTCTATATTTCCTTTTTACCATATTTATTCCTCATCTATTTTTTTAAAAAAACCAATATTACCCTTCATCCTCATCTCTAATCTTAATCAAATTCAATTTTTCCCTTCTGTTCTATATTATACCCCTTCGCATTGTCATCTATTTTTATATCCATCCTCACATTGGTTAATTATGTAATTATGTAATACAGTTGTTTAATACAAATTCAACATTTTAATATAAATCAATTAGTTATATAACTATCTTTTTTGTATATTAATCAATATGAACATGAATATTCCAATTATTTCCATGCAATCCAATTTCTTACAAATCAATTAATTATATTTAATATAATAATAATAATAATAAACCAAATAATTTCCCCCATATATTCCTCCAAACCACAATTTAACCATTTCTGCTTTCAACACAATATACAATTAATAGTATCTCAATTATTACAATTCCCTAGTTAAATAGAGCTTTTTTTCTTTTGTGTTTTAAAATCTTGAACCTCCTCTTTTGCCCTAAATTTCCCATTGTTTGCAGTTTTGCACCTACCTTTTTTGGTGAGGAAAAAGAAAAAGAAATCTCTCTGCCTCATTTTGTCACGTTGCAGCAAAGACCCTGCTTTACTTTCAATTTCGCTTTTTCAGCATAGCTAGGGGAAAAAAAATCTGCTCCAGGAATTTACCTCTTTGCAGCTAGCTAGCAACAGAGCCCTCCGCAAAACAGCTGAGAGCAAATCAGCTGAGAGTCCGGAGGCTGATCAAATCAACTTGGGCTGTTTTTTCTATTTTTGCAGGCACCGGTCTATTCATTTGTTTTCTTTTAACACTGATCAGCTGTAGGGCGGCTCTTTGAAGCCCTGCGGCAAGAATTTAAAGTTTTTTTCCCTCTAGCCATCAGCTGGGACTCCAGAGGCAGCAATAGATTGGGAGTGGGCGGGGTAAGCGACCGGCGACCGGCGATCCAACAGAGGCAGAGGGTGAGGGTGAGTGAAGGAGTGGGGGGGGGTGAGAGAGGGCTTTGGCAACCCCTGTGAAATGGCTGTTCGACCCCCAAAGGGGTCGCAACCCCCAGGTTGAGAACCGCTGTTCTAAGAGGTGAAGAAGGGAAGGTTCAAGGAGAAAAAGCCCACCATGAGCAGAAAAAGGCAGAGGAAGGAGTGAGAAAACAATTCTTGACATCCTTAACCCTAATATTATCTATCAAAAATTACCAATAAAATCTTTGAATAACTTGTTTGTTCCAAACCGTTTTTATTGCAGTTTTGTGATGAGAATTCTTTTTTTCCTCTCATAAATTTATGTGGCCTTTGTTGCAGGGCAATCTTTTGACCCAAGAAGAAATGTTGCAAGTGCTGTTTCTAATGTGATCTGTGCAGTCGTCTTTGGCAATCGATTTGATTACAAAGATCACACCTTCATAGAGAACCAGCAGATTGTGGAGTCTCAAATAAGATTTTTTACTGGTTTCC